TCTTTGCTTGACACCGCATATTAAAATCATATTTTCTGTTCTAACTCATGAATTGAAAGCAAATATTGGGGTTAGATTAAAAAATGTATTTTGAATTTAATATGCTTTATTCCCATAAGGCAACGGAGCTGTTAGACCTTTCCCCCTTTTTACTATTTAATCTGAGGCATGCACAAAGCTTTCACAGGCGATACAAGACGTTTGAAGATATATTCTAGAACTTCGGAAAGTCTTCTTCGATCCCAGATTTCCTGATTTCCTTGGAGTGCCTATTCCGTTCAAGCACCTGTGATTCTCCACTAGAAATCTATTTTTCAATTGTCAAGTTGCTTCCTGTCATCCTCTCATCAAACATTGGCTATTCCCCGGGAACCGTTTTTGTTTTTTATATTACTTTATTCAATAAGGACGTATTATATGTGGTGCTAATCTAATGAGTTTGTCTTCGTTTTCAATTAAGTCGTTGTGTAAGCCTATACAATTTCTGTGCGTTTATATTATATTAATGAGTTGTTACATATATAGCCGAACGATTCCGCGTACTGTTTCAATTACCCTACAAATACAATAAGCTCCCGTAATAACGTAGTGGGGAACAATTTACAACACAACACTGGCTATGACTAATGTTGCTAAGTGACAAGAACAAGCTCAGTTATTACGTAATGTATAGTCACAATGTGACAAAAAAGGGTTAAATACAGTTTGCCATTGTCACCATTTTGTGACTAATCATCGATGGGTTTCTAAACCCCGTCATGGTTCATAGAGACAGAGCTCCATCAGTCGGCTTCCACAGGAACATGGTTTTTGGCATAAGGTATCGTTTATCAAATAGTATATGTGTGCAATCACGGGTGTGTGTTACCTTCATTTTTTGAGGTCATCCGGTTCATACAGCAATCGTCAGCATCAAAGTGACAAGCCCTCGGGCAGTCAGTATACACAACTACAATGGTGAAAATGGCAACTAGTAATCATTAGTCATTGCCATAACGAAAATCAATGGCCAGCACGAAGACATGGGTCATTTAGTACATGCTGAAATAGTGACCAAGGTATGGTAAACCATTGACATTGTCTTAACAACAATAATTCAAGATCATTCGGTACAGATCTACATACTTTACATAAACTTGCATCATTTATAAGTATTTTCTTCAGATTGGTAAGTATGGATTATGAAAAGTTCTTGATACACAACCAATAATTGGTTGTGTAATAAGAAATTTTCATAATAAACTTACATTTTTCGCTTTCAAAAATGAAAGTATATAATGTTAGTTATATGCTTGCCGATTTAAACTATTTGATACTACTTTTGCGTGAAAATTAAGCATGAAAATGTAATTATATTCCTACATCAGCACGCGATACACTTGAAATAAGAACAGATTTAAGAAAAGAAAGGAAATTGACAGAGGAGAAGAATACATATCAAATTTTGATAACAATGCGTGCAGCACAAACTTTAATATTTCCCTGAAGAAAATGGCACAGCAGGAATCCCCAATTAAGCAGAGACCCCGTACAAGTAGCCTCGCATGATCATGAAATATTAATATAATGTAGAAAAGGCCAATCACTGTCTGCTGCTATTCCATTAGCTACGAACCTGTTTCCCCGTACAGAATGTTTGCCTCTTTTTCTAAATAATGTTCGAGTATTGAATTTCTCAACACAGCATTGTTTTTGTATTTTTTTGTTTTGTACTTTTTTGTATCTTTTTGCTTTGGTAAAAAAAAAGAAGAAAATACTGAAGAGTAACCAAAACCGTAGTTCAAACGTAAAATCGATAAGACAAGGGCAAGAAATAAAAATGAAAGAAATACATGGAGTATAGAACAATGTGTCCAGGCAGGATAGCGACTTCTGCTTCGTCAATGGCGAGAAAACCAATCGCAAGAAACAAAGGTAAATGTAGTTGAACTACAAGTCATTCCCTGCTCTCGAAAAGAGAAAAAGGGTAGTGACAACTGAAACAGAACGAACACCAAATCATAACATTTAGTCGATTTTTATATCGAAAAGTGGGATAAAATCCCCCCTATAAGTTCGTTATGGCTACCATAAAACCACATATACCTGTTTTCGTCATTGTCATCCTGTAATGACAGGTCAAAGACACATCCTTAGATTATGTGGGAGGGTTACATTAGGCGCCACAAACACAACGATCTGTCTTGGATTTGATTTAGGCTTAGCTGTAAACGTTAGGTGTACTACTAGAGGTTACTGTAAATGGAGAAGGCTCCATTTTGTCTTTTTTTCCATTAACCTATAGGTCGAGACAGCGCAGACAACGCTTTGCATATCTACGCTCACAGTCAGATTAATTATACTGTCTCTCTGTTCAAAGAAGCTGACTCAGTGTGAGCTTGAATGGCGGGTTGTTGTTGTATTCTGACATAATGACACTGTCAGCAATATGTTATCCTGTGTGTACGCTGACTTATGTCTGTCCTTGTAATAATAATAAACAACATTTGATATAGCGCCCTATTTAGCTAACATAAGCCACTCTAAAGCGCTTTATAGTACATATATATACAATTGATACAATTAGCATATACACACTCAATACATTTTTTGAGGAATTCGCAGGAGCTGCCTTATCAGGCGCTAATTTATAGTCCTATGCCACCTGGCTAATATCTCCGTATGTGTGTATGCCTGGGGGAGATGTAATGTAGTGAATATGATATTTTGTTTTATCTTGAAGGGATAATGATATCGCCTTTTTGCCGTTGTCCCCTCGATTGCTTTTGTGTTTTCCATTGTATGAAAGTTGTGGATAATCTTGCAGTCAATCATATCATGCACACAATGTTCATGTATATCAAGCTGTAGGCTGTTTCTAGGTTGCGTTGTAACAATGAAATACAATTTGCTGAAGATGTATATATGCATTACGAAATATTTCTTCGAAACTGTTCATAATTTGCATTTGTTTCTCTGTTCCTTCTGTTTTAATATATTGAACATATATACAGGTTTATAGAAAATGAAATAAAGCTTCAATGTATTTGATAACTTTGACTTCTATTAGACGGACCAATTAAACGATGGCGCGAAAAAATTTAAAGGGCCTCGACTGCCTTGAACTGAAACCATAGAAGCCTTAGTGTTTAGGTGGCTTCGAAAATAAGACTGTATTGAAAATTGACCTACTTCGAATATAAGCCTAAACGTACGAATTGATGCTATGATTGATCGTTTTCTCTTAAACCTAATTAACGATCGTTAAAACGTTCTCAATTTTGTCAAAGTGTCTCATTTCCTTCTATTTGTCTCATTTGTTTCAATTAAGATAAAATCTACCACTCGACTTTGATCTTTTTTCCCTATTTTATTATTTTATTAAAATGTTAGTTAATTTTGCTTTACGATAAGCTGTAAGTTGATTTTGCGATTGAATAAATCAGGTTAAAACAAAACTTATACATCACATCAACTTTGTGAACTATTTTTATTCACGACTAAACAAGACATCAAATGCGCGCCGGTACATAATCAACTTACTGTAATCAGATCTAAGAACATTTGCACGCGGCGATAACACATTTCCTTTAATTTACAACGTCAGTTTATCTGTCTAAGTCTCCTGTACTTTGCGCTAAATTCAATTATGACGTCACTAATCTCTTTAGTTCATTTAAGTAACCTATCTATAGCAGGACACGTCACCTGACCAAGGTGATTTCACACTTGTAACAAAGATAACAAAAGCCCATGGCCACCACGTTTATTGATACTTATTCTCATTTTGACTTGAAATTTCCGGTGACCTTTTGACTTCCGTTGACTTTTAAACCGTAAAACCACACTTCAGATATTTAAGAGTATTCTCGTTTTTCGTTTCAATTTATTTGGTTTTCTGGCGCACTGTTGCTGCCATTAGTACCAATCTGTTTTAACTTTGATTACATACATATTATATTGCTGTCTTTTAGAAATTACTTCATGAATATTCAACAAATTTTTACCAACCATGAATCATTTTATTGATCTCACCGAGTCGTTTCACGAGCCTCATTCGTATTAGTAGATAGAACACTTAAAACGATATCAACAATCTCTTTTATAAGAAGACGTTGTACGCAGAATGTCTCAATGATATTTTAGTTTTTTCCTTTTTTTTTATTGTTATTATTTTTTTCATTTTTATTTGTGTCTTCCTGAGACGATCAAACGACACAAATACAATGAGGTATGGTTTCTTTTAGGAATCATCTTCCATGTTCATTAAGTAAACGATATTCCAATCGACAAAAGGAGTGTATACATCGTTTTATTGCTTTCCAATGTCCCGATCTCACAAATAGGAGATTCCTACTAACACTGATTCAAACGTGTAAGCAAAGAAATGTTTATATTATAATCTCACGTAGGTAAACCGGACATTGTTTTTTAAGTGACGGTTTGCTGAATCAAGTTGTACTGCATTAAATCGATAACTGTGTGTTTTTTTTTTTACTAAGGTAGGATTGAAGAACCAATTCAATCTACAGCCCAAATTGTAGCACTTAGTATCTATTGTTTTCTTCCTTACTCCTGATTTTGTCAGTTTCATTTTAGGAAATTTCTCCATTTCACCTTCGCTGTTGCTAGGTCATTTACCCATTATCAAACATAAAAATAGAACAACGCAAGATCCATGATGCCTACTCATTTGGTTGTAATTTGTCATTTCTTCTTTGAGCTCCGATTTTGTGAAGATGCAGTTAATGTTTCTCTATTTTATTTCATTTAATCTTTTACATTCAGAGTTCCGGTCCAAGTTACAAGGAGTTTCGTTGTTCAGAAATTACTTTTACTTTCCTGTCATTACGTCAGAGTCTAGGCTTTGTACTTTAACCACTTTGAGGCCCATTTTTCTATCCGGAAAAAAATTCAGGCAGCAGATCTTGTTTCATTTTCCAATTACAGATTCTTGTCTCGAAAATGTTTCATCAAATCCAATTTCTGTTTGTAGTTGACAAATATCTTATTTTTTTCAGTTAATTCAACGGATAATTGCTTGAGAGGGATGAGAATTGCTGTAACAATAAAGAAAAATCTCTGCTGGCCGTCACATGGGAATCAATCCCGTCTTTGTGGTGGAAATGGTAATTGCGTCATCGATTCGTCAGAGGTAATAGAAACGACATACGCTTCCGTAGTTTACTCCCAAACACTGTCAGCAAAGCATCAAGTAACTAATTTACGATCGATATCTACCGTAGACAAACATATCGTGCTACAATTCCAATGTCATTTTCTTCTTTCTGACTAAGTTCAAGTGATAGAATCGAGGCAAATATAAAACGTGACCCACATGGCGAAGTAATGCAACGATCACATAAGATTTGTTATAAAAACAGTCATTCTAGAACAGTCACGCGCGGAATGAATTATCCCAGCAAGTAGGTGGCAACAAATTAAGAGAAGCCAATTGCCTAACAAAGGAGCTGAATTTTTTCTTGTTGTTGTTATGTTTTGGTTGTTTTTTTTTTGTATTTAGAACTTATTGACAACTAACTTGTTCTTATATAATTCTGCAGCATTAATTTTGATTTGCTAAAATTAATAAGCACACAAAAATAAACGGAATCTACTGAGCTGTGATTTTAATAAAACGTAGGCATCTCGTGAAAGCGAAAATGAATATCATTCGAATTATCTATTTTGTATTTTTAAAGAAGCGATTTATTTTATATGACAATTGATTATAATAATAATAGTCTTTAGACAATTATGGTAAAAAGTTATTAATTCAATTATGTAACTTACATTTTGTAAATAAATAAACCAGAATATTGTTCGACTCTATATATTATATCTCTCGAGTTTGTCTGTATGTAAATTTTGCGTATTTTCTTTCCACTCTTTATTAATATTATATAATGGTTGCTCCTTTCAGATCTTTTTGGAGGCTTGAAATGCCATAGTTATCTAGCGAACACCCACTAATCAAATGTAATGCAATTATATTCACATGTTATTGTTACCAGCCTCGTTTTGAATGTTTGAATAACGAGACACGTTTTTCACGGTGAATATTGCAACAACTGAATTAGTGACTGCTATATGAACCATCCTCAAATGTATCCTATATTGTATTTGATTGTAAAATGTGTGCATTTATCTATCAAAGTGATGTCATTTGTTTTATAATTTACCAGTATTAACAGGTTTCTGTTGCTTATAGAATGGTGTTATATGCTGCAATCAAATCATCATTAAAGAATGCATACACAGATTTTAATTTAACTGACTCCGTTGATCTTTCAGGAACATTTCAAATGTGTGTGCTGTGCAGGATACACTTCAACATATTGTGACAAAACGTATCAAGGTAACTAAGCTTTCACATCGCAGCAATGTTGTCAATTGTCTACTATTGGGGTTTTTAAATAAATGTTATTTTCGACTGCCCTCTATCAGCATAGAAAGTCCCGTTAAATGTAGTTATTTTTATATTTCAATCCCGTTATCTTTAATCACAATTGTTACAAAAAACATCATGTCACCTTCCAATATCAATTCCTCATGCACCTGGATCACAAGACCACCTGGGTATATACATGTGGCTTTATACCAGATCACAGCTAAACGGGAAAATACAAAGGGTACAGCCTACTGTTCAATCCATTCGTGTAATTTATTAAACAATGTGTGTTTTTTTCAAATTGAAATCAGAAATGAATTAAACGACCTCTTATCGAATTTGTCACCGGAAAAAATAACGTGGGGAACTATAAACCACCACGCCAATACACTCGAACAACTTGACAAATAAAACACAGAATCAGCATAACAACAAATATATTACAGCGTCATCACACAAGAAGACATGTTTACAACAGCATCAATAAGTACACTAGGACAAGTTTTTCAGATTACCAATCAACAAGGTCAAAACAAAACAAGGATTAAACACGCATGGACCAGATATACCAAAGTATAGCGCAATGTCAACACACAGCGACAAAATGAACCATAGCGTCAACATACCGGGTCAAAATATATCACACAGCGTCAACACACCAGGTCAAAATATACCACAGCGTCAATACACAAGTACAAAGTATACCACAGCGTCAACACACCAGGTCAAAATATACCACAGCGTCAACACACCAGGTCAAAATATGCCACAGCGTCAACACAAAAGGTCAAAATATACGACAGCGTCAACACATCAGGTCAAACTATAGCACAGCGTCAACACACTATGTCAAACTATAGCACAGCGTCAACAAACAAGTACAAAATAAACCACAGCGTCAACACACCAGGTCAAAAAACACTACAGCGTCAACACAAAAGGTCAAACTATACCACAGCGTCAACACACCAGGTCAAAATATACCACAGCGACAACACACCATGTCAAGCTATAGCACAGCGTCAACACACAAGTACAAAATATACAAATATACAACAGCGTCAACATAAAAGGTCAAACTATACCACAGCGTCAACACACCAGGTCAAAATATACCACAGCGTCAACACACCAGATCAAAATATACCACAGCGTCAACACACAAGTACAAAATATACCACAGAGTCAACACACCAGGACAAAATATACCACAGCGTCAACACACCAGGACAAAATATACCACAGCGTCAACACATCAGGTCAAAATACACCACAGCGTCAACACACAAGTACAAAACATACCAAAGCGTCAACACACCAGGTCAAAATATACCACAGCGTCAACACACCAGGACAAAATATACAACAGCGTCAACACAAAAGGTCAAACTATACCACAGTGTCAACACACCAGGTCAAAATATACCACAGCGTCAACACACCAGGTCAACATATACCACAGCGTCAACACACCAGGTCAAAATATACCACAGCGTCAACACTCTATGTCAAAATATACCACAGCGTCAACATACCAGGTCAAATATACCACAGCGTCAACACACCATGTCAAAATATACGACAGCGTCAACACGCAAGCACAAAATATACCACAGCGTCAACACACCATGTCAAAATATACCATACCGTCAACATACCAGGTCAAAATATACCACAGCGTCAACACACCATGTCAAAATATTCCACAGCGTCAACACGCAAGCACAAAATATACCACAGCGTCAACACACCATGTCAAAATATACCACACCGTCAACACATCAGGTCAAAATATACCACAGCGTCAACACACAAGTACAAAATATACCACAGCGTCAACACACCAGGACAAACCATACCACAGCGTCAACACAAAAGGTCAAACTATACCACAGCGTCAACACACCAGGTCAAAATATACCATACCGTCAACATACCAGGTCAAAATATACCACAGCGTCAACACACTAGGACCAAATATACCACAGCGTCAACACACCAGGACAAACCATACCACAGCGTCAACACAAAAGGTCAAACTATACCACAGCGTCAACACACCAGGTCAAAATACATCACAGCGTCAACACACCAGGACAAAATATACCACAGCGTCAACACACCAGGACAAAATATGCCACAGCGTCAACGCACCAGGTCAAAATACACCTCTGTATCGAAATTAACAATTAACACAAAAGAAGCCAATGGTAAATTATACCAAAACGTCAACACATAATATACCACAAAGTCAATAAAAGAGAAAATATACCACAGAGTCAACACAAAAGGACAATATTCCACATCGTCAATACCCGAGGTCACAATAAACCACAATGTCAGCACTCAGGGAATATTACACAACAATGTCAGCACACAGGGAACAAATGTACACCGTAACAATGCACAAGAACAAAGAACTTTGCATTGATAAGAAATCACAATAACGACAAATGGAATGATCGCGTGAGTTGAGGATATATACTTAGAAGACACCCATTGCACCTATCAGTCACTATCCACATTCCTCGTTTTCTTACAGTTTACTTTTATGACTCTTATGTATATTTTATCGTAGTTTTATGAATGTGTAACCGAAAAAATCAAACCTTAATCATTACAATATCTTAATTTTCAGCAAGCCTACAGCGTTATATAAATCCATACTCATTGATTCAATGACGCTACAACAAGTGTGGTGCAACAACAGTTTTCATCGTTTCATAATCATTTATTGTATAATGACCATACGCGTGTGATTATACCATATACGTGCACCGCTCTTCCAAACACCTCCCCCGCATATGTGAATAAGCGAACCCGCGGCACTGGTTTCATTTGTTGAATGAGGGTTCCCGCATATAGTTTTGTATGTATTTGGAGATTTCCTAGTGGACAAACAACAAAAATTCTCTTTAACTTCTAGATCTACTTTAATCCTGTCAAGCTCTCGGTCAGAATGTGCCGCTGAACGTACCACGAAGTTGGTTGGAAATAGAGCTTGTAAAATGTTGACGAGCGATGATGATAGATTAGTGGGTTTGAACATCTTGTATAAAACATGACGTCAGAGCTAATTGTTAATCGTCTGTCGACCAAATGAATGCAAAATCTTTCGCGCATATAACCAGATTAAGTAAACAGCATATTACCATTGTCCACAGGGTAAAAAAGGGTAAAAAATGCAACTTGTTTTCATTGAAGAAGGCATCACGTGATGAATGTTAACGCACGAAAACGAACAGCCTAATGTAAATAATAAGATTATCTATGTCACCTTGCCTAAGGGCTATAAACACAGAAATAGACACGATGAAAACTGTCATGGCATGTTACTAAGCAGCATAGATACAATCAACATATGTTTGTTTATTATTGTGGAAAAGGGATTCCAAAATGTTCGGAAAATAATCAAATCAGGCCGCAAGCGACCTTCGTTTATTATTTTTTTCCAGCATTTTCTCATCCTCGTTATTTATTCCAACATAATACATGGACATACGTTGATTATTTCTTGAATAAACTATGATCCCAAAACATTTGATACAGTAACATGCTACCTTAGAGGAAGACAAGTTTGCGTAAGGTGCCAACAAATGAAAGAAAAAAACGTGTTTGAATCATATACGGCCGAAATGTTAGTGAGAAGCTTTTGCAAACCCTCCCCAAAAATAATCAATAAAAAGTTAATATATATATTCTTATGGTGGTATCTTCCTTTTTGTTTGATTATCCTTTAACTTTATTGTGGCTGTTTGGTTTATCGTTATCGTCTAACCTCGTGTCCTAATAACTATTTATGGTAATAACGATTTACTTTTAGACCCAAACAAGGTTTAGTTTACGTCATTCACGGTCTTACGTGCTGTACATAATAGAACAGCTTACACGTGCCATGGTCACTATATATTAACCTCTTTTTGCCAAACAGAAATAGAGAGGACACATGTGTGTTGGTGGATAATCTAGATCTGTCCGCTTGTTTTATCTGTTGATCGTGCCATATTGATTTAATGGTAAAACTGTTGCGTAATCTCAACGGCAGAAAGTAGTCCGCTAGGTCTCAAAGGTTAGAACAGATGTAAATAGTGCAGATTTTAAATGCATTCTCCACACCTGATGCCCAAGGATATACTAAAAGTCATGAAATGTTAGTTCAAGTAATGAATAATTATTAACGTAATGAAAATTGCCATTGACGCAAAATGCTGATAAAAAACATTGATTATGCTTTTTCCCATTCACCTCGCAACAAAATCACGTAAATGTCAAGACTGCATATCTCCTATCAATAACTTCGGAGAATATCTTTTAAACAAAATATGCGATCTAACTGGTATGGAGAAAGTATTTTTTCCAAAAGTGTTCTTAGCTTGATAAACCTACTTATTTCTTTCAAAATGATTGGATTGGTTAAAAAAAGATAAAAGATAAAAAAAAAAATATATTAGTAGGTTCGTAGTTTTAAATGAATTGCTATGCATTCAATAATTTCTATGATTTGAGATAACTCAACGAAAATTTGAATATAGATTTGTTTTAAGGGAGATATTTCTAAGGGAGGTAATTCTGTCTCTTATGTCTTTTGTGTAAAGGAGATAACGCTTACACACGTCTGATGTAGAAGGGAGGTTTGTAACTCTAACACCCATGTTCAATATGTAAGGAAGATTACTCAATACACCTGTCTAATGGGAAAAGGATTTTAGGAGATATTTGTTTTTGAAAATAAAATAAATCCAATCTAAATCCAATAGAAAAACAAGCCAAAACAACAAAGCGTCAATTCATTCACCAGATCTAATAGTTGTTATTCTAATTTTAGTTAACTAAATACAAGAACTATGATAACCGTCAACATCACAACAGACATTTGTATAACTTCTGAGGAAAAATAATGCTTGGAGTACCATAGGTAATAAAGAAGAGTGAATGCCTATTGGGATCTAAACCGGTTCATGTGCTACATGTAGTAACTTACCACTAAGTTGTTCTGCGGAAGCTACGAGGCCCAGTGGAAACCATTTCACCTAGCTGTTTTAGTCTGAATGTTTTGCTAACATCAGTGCCGACCTTATTGGTTGTGGACGACTTGCCTGAGCTGCAATGTTTAGATAATCTGATTTGCTAAAATTATGGAATGTCATTGGATTCACATTTCTGATATCAATAATAATTCGCTCATGCAGTACAACGTTTTGACAAATCGGAGCATAATTTTATTTGAGTCTTATATTATAATAATAAACAGAACAACACATGATCCATTATATACCAAGGACATGAGGACAAACATAGAAAGTCAAATAAATAACAAAAAGTTAGTTTCGCAAATTTCCACATCCGTGTTATTTGAAGGAAATTGGGAAATAAAACGGGTTACAGGTAAAAGGAAAAAACGAAAAAGTAGTGCGTATATTTTTATTTACAGTCTTAACCACACAAGGAAACCAGACAAACGACAAAAAAAAGCAAAGTAGCAGCTTATCCTCTTGACTTCAAATTGCTATTTGTTTCTTTTCCTTTCTTACAGAAGTCATAAATACAACAGATGATAAACCGTCTAACACGTGTCAATCATCACCCTGTTCGAACAATGGCACGTGCGTGGTTGTGGATAGAAATTCATACATATGTTTGTGTGCGGAAGGATACACAGGAGCACAGTGTCACATCATAGACCTCTGTACGCCGAATCCCTGCGCTTTTGGTGTCTGTCAGATGAATAACAATTCCAGACAATGCTATTGTACCCCAGGTGAGAAACATCAACACTTCAAGAATATACATTAACGCTTTAGGTTATATCATATATTCAGTCCAAATGGGAATTTATGTTTTGTCAGGGTGAACATAACAATAACTTGGTGTTTTGTTTCGTAATTTCAAAACATAATTCGATTTGTTTTGAACAGAAACAAAGACGAACTGTCTTTGTGAAGGTGTCGTAACAGCTTTGGTATCCTGTGAGAAGTCATTACCGTCAGATTTAGGACGACAACCAACAATGTGTTTGAATTCAATTAAAATCGAATGCATACCATAATTAACGTTTTGCGAGATATATGAGTTTGCTAAAAATCACGTGGGAGTGTCGACCGAAAATTCACCATGTGAATTCAGGCAGTTATTGACTGGGAAATATAACTGTTTTCTATTTATCAAACTTACTGTACATGGTAAAAGGAAAATAAAAATATATCATAATAATGAAATTTATGTAACCACGTGTGAATAAAATACGGCAACAGGATTTTTATTGGCAGTTCTATATCATTTTGTGGATGTATTATTTACTGTTACTTTTATGTGGGTATATCAGCCATATCTTCAACGTATATCATATAAAATTGAACATTTCACAAATAAATATTATATACAACGTGTTTTCATTTCTAATGGATATGTTTTCGAGTTATATGGAGCAATTTGAAATGAAAGATATTTGATTAATTTATTCTGTCATTGGTTATAACTATATAACTACTTAACTAAAATTTGCAATGAATGTCCGAAGATTCTGCAAAACGAATGTTTGAATCAATATGTTAATCATTGCAAACATTGTTTTGAAAATATTATTATTTAAACCGTAACTCTGTCGTTTCGGCATTTGTGCGTTAAATTGTTATGAATTGAAAGGATATATCTCTAGCCTATATATATCGCGTGTGTAGAGTATGTCTTTGACAAAAACAAAAATATGATTTAGCATGTCTATGTAATCATCTATAGGATACCATGGGGAACTGTGTGAAAAGGATTACAACGAATGTCAATGCAAACCGTGTCAAAATGGCGGCCACTGTATTGACCAACAGGACAGATATGAATGTGTATGTCCCCGAGGATACACGGGTACTAACTGTTCCAAAAAGGTGAGTAAACCCCGAGGAACCACGAACAAAAGCTTTTCCAGAAAGGTGGATTACCCGAAGGATGAACAGTTTATAACGGCTCTAAAAGATTAGTAATCCCCAAGGGCACACAAGTAACGAAAATTCAAAGAGATTAGTTATGTCAGAGGTTACACGGGTAATTATTGTTTAGAAAATAGAACTATCTCCGAGAGTACACAGGCACGAACTGTTCAGAAAATGAGTAATCCCCGAGAGAACACGTGACTACCTGTTCAGAAAGATGAGTAATTATCGATGATACATGTGTATCAACCGTTCAGGAAAAGGATGAATCCTCGAGGATACACGTGTTTTAACTGTTCCGAAATATGAGTTTTCTCCTAGAACTTTTAAGTACGATTAGTTAAGAAAGATAAGTAGCCTGACACGATACTCTATAGGAATAATTTTGTCTTAACTACAAACAAAGTCAATGTAAAAACGCATTACTTAAGACTTACTTATATTTCGCAGGGGACCAACATATCTATAAGCGTCATATTGCTAGAGAAAACTGTCTAGCCTATATGCATATGTCGTTTGCTATAACAAGCGACATTCTTCTTCTTTATCGATATCGACGTCAATTGGTGATGACAACCACAACAGAAACACAAAACAATCAAGAAAATAAATCATTATTTTGTTAATTTGTTTTTTTAAAAATCATGCAAGGTTAATATATAGATGTAGTTTCAGAGGAATTGGAAACAAAATTAGAGTTTATTTGTTTATAGTAGGCATTGTGTGCTAATCAAGTCACCCCAATCATAATAATCATTGCCCTTTTCATGGTCAAAGGCGTATCGAGTTAGCCCAAGATATACTTCATCTTTGTTAGTAAACTATAAGAAATGTATCACGCGTCAACACAATACAACAACAAAGAGCCCGTCTAAATTGGTAGAGACACATGGGTTCCCAGTAAACTTTTCCTACATGAGATGTGTCACCCGTTTTAATGTCAATTTTAAGTATTCCATTCACCCAATTTGTGTACTATGTTGTAGTGTTATTATTAAAATATTTTTATTCGTTTAGGTAAACCTTTGTAATCATAATCCATGCAAAAACAATTCAGCGTGTATTGATCTGGGGACCAGTATCCGATGTTTGTGTCGGCCAGGGTATACAGGTGAGACAGACTTACCGCCATGCTTGACTCGATATGTTTATGTTGCAGTGACGAAAAGGAAAATAAAAGGGAAATTATTCTCAATTTTCTATTTATGCACTTGCACAATTAAATTCTTAAATAATCTTTCATGTATGACAGATTCGAATGGTTGTTGTAACTTTGAAGATACAGGACGCCCTTATGATATAATATTTCACTCATGTGAATAAGCATAAAGGCACTTCAGCTGGAAAAGTAACGTAATTGAGCCAAACGTCTCATAGAAATATGCCAGAGAACAGCGGCAGCTTTGCTACTTTATCCTAATTTATAGCGGGTTATCTCAGGACCAGCAAAGTGTAAACGATTGATTTAGACCCTGTTCGAAATCTGACACAAGTTATCATCGACAAACCGGCGCCTATCAACGAGCCGAGTTTAAACGTTATCCAACGTTCGTATGAACATGTTAATAGAGTCAATTTATAACTTGTTTTTTTTTCTGGAGAGCAATTATCTGGGTTGTTATGCTAGACTTATTTCATTTCATTTCAAAATAAATTTTTTTATTCATGATGGTGAATGAATTAAATCGAACAACAGGCTATGCCTATATCAGTTCTGTCCTGAACACCTATATACCTATATACACATTACCACAGTTTACCATGTAACATAAAATTAATTACTGGTATCATGTAGGTCCTGTACTGTTACATGGTTCCAATTGTTTCATTTCAGGTCACAACTGTGAAGTAAACATCAATGACTGTTCGTCTAATCCCTGCCTTCATATGGGCACGTGTCACGACAGCGTCAATGGTTACTGGTGCGCGTGCACGGAACCGCACGCAGGCTTCAACTGCGAATTCACATGTAAGATACAATTATTGTATTTAGTTAATCACATACCTCACATACGTCTGGGATCATATTTAATCAAGTGTGATGTTTCAATCAATATATCGCGAATCGTTGTTTATACGGTTACGACATTGTAGAAAAAAACAAATATCACAATTTCACTACAAAATACAAGATTGAAATTCATTCAAGTCGATACAAAAATAGAAGAACAGGAACCTCGGAGACAGCAAAAACAAACGGAAAGCATCATGATCAACTGTTCCCTTTCCGCATCACAAGCAAAGACGAGACGTAATTAATTTTCCGCAAAGTTAAACGTTTCATGCATATAACATCCGTCATGTTATGTCCTGTCAAACCTGGGGAAGTATGTAGGTATACTTAAGGACTGACTTTCATTTTGACTGCGTATACGGTAGTATGAACGCAGTTGGAAACCAGCATATTCTTTATGGAGCGCTGACGCGCTCCATAGAATATGTTCGTTGCCAACTGCGTTCATACTACCGTATACGCAGACACCCTGAAGATCAATTCTTATATTTACATATTTTCGTACTATGATGGTACACTCAGAATAAAGCTAACTCTAATACATTTGCTTTTATAATGGTACAAAGCCTCCGTAACGTGCGTAAATCCAAACAAATGAACAGCCTACAGCCTACAGCCTACGAGCAGCGATGGATCGCCAACGTTACCATTATGACGTCACAATGTAAATTACGTCATCAAAAGGAAACAATGGTCTCCAAGGAATATCACTGCGTATACGGTAATGTATACGCAGTCACGGTTTACACAGCTTCAATGGGAGCGAATGTAAATATAAGGATTTAAAACATAAAGTGTACATGTCTTTATTAATTGTAGACATTAATATATCATAGCAGGATATCAGGTCCAGATAATGATCAAAGAGAAGACATTCTAGTAGATAACACTGACCGGGGAGTTCAATTAGTCTACAGTTTAAACTATAGTTTATAATATTTCTTAACATTTTCTGCAGGTTGGTAAGTATCAATTATGATATGTTTCTGGTTACACAACCAATAAGTGTTTCTATGTGACGTTTCGATGACTGGTACGGTATGTACTCTGCCACCTTCATCAGACAAATGACCAGTGAAGCGTATGCACACAAAGGTGTAACATGTGTACGAGTTGTCTGCAAATCGATGTCGATTCGGATACGCTGTCTGCGTATGTACAATAGTTGTAATATATGTACCGAAATGACTCGATTTGGTCATAGATGTGCGATAGTATATGAGCCCCCTCATCTCGATTAGAGAACTGACCCACTGCGGCGTTTCCAGATGGCTTCATTTATCTGCCGCTTGAGAAGATTGCTCTCTCTGTCCAAAGTATTGGAACGTCACATAGAAACACTTATTGATTGTGTAACAAGAAACATTTCATAAAACATCAAATAAATCATATAATGTAAGGTTAATTGGGAAATGAACTGTGCATAATATTGAATGTTCAGTGTTTTTAAGTTGTTGGCGCAAAATATTTTCATAGAAAATGGAAGAATGTACATAAGATTTTAAAGCGTTAAGATACAAATACACAGCCTTAATGAAGTTGTCGATAAAGTATTGATGCAAAGTGATTGTATTTTCTACAAATTCTATGAGATAGCTTACGTGGTTTTGACCTTGATATACATTGCGGGTCTCGTCGATGAAGACAAAAACACTTATCCTTCTAGAACACCTGGTCTTATTTTCCTTGTACATTTTCAAATGCTGCTTGTAATTGTTCCTTTTGTTCATATTTTTCCAATAACGGATTTGTTGACACTTCAGTGGTCTGTTGTAGATTTTTTAAGCATATCAATATAAAAAACATCAGATATCAGATTTCAAGAATGAAATGTCCTTTTCGCAAAGGCGCAAGCAAAGAACTCGCCACATTCTTGTGACGCCATGAGAGCCTTATTGACATTTATTAACATTTTATGTCCTGACTTGCCATTTAAATGTTATTGAAATTGCAGTTGATGTTTTTGCACCTCCGATGGAAACGGAAATTACAGAGGACGCAAGTAAAAGCTATCTCCATAATCTGTACATCGTGGCTGGAACCCTGATGGGTGCCATTTGCATTGTGGTGGCCGTGGTGACCACCTGCTACTGCCGTCTGCATGAAACTTACAAGAAAATCAGATGGAAGAGATTAAGGTAGGAGAGAACCCAGTCAAATGTTATTAGGAACCCAAATTGTGTTCGAGCATAATGGGTAAAAAGTAATAATGTTTTCTTCCTAGGAATTATTTCACGTGGTTACAGAAAATTGCATTCCACAATTGGCCTCATACATGTTTTGTATTGTTGTCCAAACATTGGGGCAATCGGAAGCTTTGATTTTCCAATTACTCGTATTTTTGTGATAGAAATCTACGTTAGTTTTCTATTCTATAACGTTTAGTAATAAACTGAAATACATTCAGTCAGCATCAAGACAAAATGAGTCCAATAACATAGTCTGTAAGTGGAATCCACGATCAAGACTGAGATATCGGTACGTTTATTCATACAATCTAATAAGATATTAAAGAATGTCCTTGAGGCCTAGTAATGTTAATCAATTGATAAAAAAAAATACAAGAAAGCCTTAACCATGTAACGTTAACGCGTTGTCTCAGCGGATAACATTATTAACATTGTCGGTCCAGTACTATAACAAGTATTGTTAAATCTTGATTGTAGGTCGTTTGAGTTTAGAACCCCGAAAGGTAGTCTAGAAGTGTCCAGTCTCAACAAGCCGCGCCTGTCTTCCGACGCCATCATGGAGGCCACGTCCTTGACCAGAGATATGCAGAGTAATTCGTCCTATAGCGATACACTCTCTTCTCGACTGGTTTAGAGAAGGTCCACATTGGCTTCATCGTGTTTACGTTCACGGAGATCGAGACAAAGCATCTAAACCATGATGTAAGCATATCAGGGGGTCATTCAACATCATATTGAAAGCACACTATTGACCCCGCGTACGACTTAAGAATTCAACAAAGGACACGATGTTGACACTTACCGGCCGTAGCGTTATCTCTAAATGGTTTATCTGGAACTAAACCTTTGGAGCAAGGTATTCTATGGGAGCCCTACAATACGCTGCAAAGAATAATTGACCCATGAGGTGTCGAGTAGATGAAAAAAGAACATAGTTAAACACAGCGTGCCACCGTAGACTATTGTGACTGTAGACTTACCCCGGATCAGTTAGGGACACACTGTAAAAAGACAATACACGAAGAGCATATTATATACGTGTGCTTTTGCGAATGAACTGCAAACAGCATCTAAGCAGTATGTTCTGCAGATATATCGCAAAAGTCATCTATGTCGTGTCATCAAAACCGTGTGCACTGTGGATATACCGCGAAAATAACCTAAACTGCGTCTTCTTCAAATATATCGCGAAAGTCATCCAAACTGTGTGTTCTGCGAATGTACCGCAAAAAGCATTTGAACTGCGTGTTCTGCAAGCATACTGCAAATGTCTTCTAAACCGTGTGGTCTACGAATATACCACTAACAATTAACAGCTTCAAGGTTGTTTCAGCGAATGTTCCTTAAAAGTGTAAGAAAGCAGGCAAAGACTTGTTCGATCTTCACCGAAATACCGAAGGCATTCATCATTTACGCCATCAAAATTATTGCATCTAAAAACATCATATAATACATTTCGTACAAATCACCTGTCAATAGGATACACGAAAAGATGTCATATGAACTAATACACCGTGTATGTCAGTATGATCATCATCTTAAACAAATAAATTTAGAGAACAACAATAGCTGAACATCGTCTTTCAGGGAACCTTATCACTTCTGGTCTATATTGGCTGAACGAGACACTTTATACCATTTTCGACTTTCTATGCTAAATTTGAACCCTGTATTACTAACATTGTACTTCCGCCCATGATCACGCCAGAGATAGCACATATTGTGCGAAGGATACCAGTTATGTGTCCCCTTCAAAGTAGGGGGTTGTCCTCTGTGTTTCATGCGTAGGGGATATTGAAGAAATCAAAACTGATGTGCTGCCCACATTACACGTTTGGGAAATCTATCATTTATTTTTTCTCCTTACAACCCTTTTATTTCAGAAGTATCTCCCCAGACAACCGCCTCCTTAAGACCTCAGCTGTTTCGAGAAGGTCAATCCCTGACAAAAAAAGTTGTTTACAACGTAATACTACCATGCACATGCACCGTTATTTAGATAGCACGCGTAAATATAACCACATCAACATATTATCCTAGATATGCTGTAACACACCATATATACATCGTTACACACTGAGGATAGACCTTAGTAATAAATGGACACTTACTTTGTACTACAATTAATACATGTGTATTCATACCACTTACTCATACATCTACACAACATATATGGGTACAATGAATTGTAAGAACGTCACTCGTGTTACATAATTGATAGCGCATAAACACAAGCTGAAGAAAGTGTACACATTTGGACTTGGTGCTAACTAACTGTGAATTTCCATATTTTTGCAAAGACTTACTTGCCTGCATGTCCTTCACATTAATATTCCCAAACACAGAAACAAAATCTTCGTTTAATTTTGTCGGAAGAAATTTTAAAATGCATATTTATCTTGCCAATTAAATGTATCGCGCAAAATTAGAGTACTCCATAGTAACCATCTTATTAATATTAGTACAAAGTTATCTAATATCTCGTTGGTTTTGATCATGAAAACTTCATTATGTAAAGCAAACATGTGAATGATGTACAAATTTGATCATGCCATGGTGTTTTGACGATAATTTGAATGAATCAACCATTTTATGATATTTTAGAAAAAGAACAATAACCGTATTGTTTCTATGTGTGTACGGTTGAGTTGGTGTGGGGTGTGTGGGTGTGAGTGCGAGTACGTCTGTGCCTGTGAGTTTATAACAAGGCAGCGAACGTTGCATATTCTAGAATTGTTTCTTTTCTTTATTTTTTGTATCCTGCCATTGAAAAGCACTTGCAAAATGATAGGTTATTCATAAGTTGTTTTAAGTAATGAATAGTTTTGTTGTAAATCGTTGCATTTGATCTTTCATCTGATGTGGACAGCTTCCCGGAGTGACCAGATGTTGGGAAAGACATGAGTTCAGGAAGCATAAAACGTTCTACAAGATCAAACAGGATTTCTGTTTTGTTGCATTGTGTTGTCGTTTTCCTTGTAAAATAAATAGACTTGTTCAAATGAATCTGTTAGACTTCTGTTGGTAATAATTAAAAAACTTTTTAAAATCTGCGAAATGATTTGTTCCTTTGCGACATGAAAAATTGTATTGTAAACAACATAATAAAATATAGAAACTGTAATAATAGGAAAATATATTCTGCGCGTCAATCAAACGAGTGTTATTGTGTCCAGTGGACATATGAACCACTAGCATTGACATTGATTATTTTGAAATTGTATGTGAATGTTTGCAGATTTTTCTTGATTTATTTAGAAGATTTTTATGTATCTCAACATGGACGGTTATATCTCTTATTGTCCATATTTTCCCGCCCATAGTGATCAACTGGATATAAATCATTGAAATTGGTCAATGACCTCAACTCAAAAGTATGTGTATCTTACCTGTTATGAGGTAAAACAGTACCACAGCGACAACAATATGTTAGGAATAACACCATAACTACCAACAGAATCGTGTGGCTGACACCAGACACTCCGGGTAGTTAAGGTCTGACACAGGTCGGTCCAGACTGTAAATACTTGTTAGTATTTAAAGATACCCACAATATATATGCAAAATATCGACATCGACAAGTTGACCAGTAAAATGCGTGGGTGTTGTGTACAGCTTTGTGGGTCTCGACATTAAACATTAAAATCTCCTTGTGGAGATAGCAAAACAGCTTTTCCCCCTTATTTGGTTTGATACGTTTTCTTTACTGCAATATACAAATTAGTTCATCAAACCTATCCTTTCTTTATCCATTTTAATGAATCCGTCGTTCTCAGTGAAGTGACTCTCATATATATACTTCTCTTATACATGGAATCCTTTCAAATGCGATTCGTGTTTAATATACTTGAAGCTTCCTGGAGGATTTGGCTAGCTTAGTTCAATGCAATTAGAAACTAAAAATAAATCAGTTGTTTGTTACAATCTCAAAACCTGAAAACCTGGAAAAACATCGCCTGACATGAGATGTTCAAAGCATTGCAAGCTTAACGAATTGTAAATCTTGATATAGAAAACTAAATCAAACAAACAGATCCCTCCCCCTTCTCTCCCCTTCCAAGTGAAAAAAACATAAATAAATAATATAAAATGAATAAGAGGAAAGGAAAGAACAAATTAATTAATGTATGCTCAAAGAGGGCTTTTGTCTTCCGAGCCTTCTTTTTAATTTAGAGGCTTGCAGTCTCGACATTTGAAGAGTTTAACAAGTATACCACATAAAATAATTAACAGAACTTTACAATTACGGAAAAGCGACTTTGACCTACATGGATGCCAAGACATTGTAACCGAGACGTTCTTCAATAATTATATAAAATATCAGTTCAAGTGAAACACACCATCATATCCGACCATCCAGAGGATATATCGCGGGCATGGCATAGCAACAGTCATGAAGCCCCACAAGACGCTTCGTAATATCCTAGTACACCAACACCGGAAGGAAACGTCGCAGAATGCGTATATAAAATCGGATGCAAGAGACTTGAGGGCAATTCGGTGTCCGCCTTGGGGAAAGAAACGGAACCCAAGAGGGAAAGAAATTCACCTGATCAGAGAGGAAGCAATCGGAGTCCCAGATCAATAAATCGGCAATCATAGACCATGCCACACAGAAAAAGCATGTGATTGACTGGGATAACTCCAAAGTACTGGACAGAGAGAGCAGTCTGTTCAAGCAGCAGATAAAGGAAGCCATCTGAATACGCCGCAGTGGGTCAGTTCTAAATCGAGACGAGGGGGCCCATAGACTCTCGCACATCTATGACCAAGTATTAAACAAAGCGTAGCTGAATCTGGTCAATCTGGTACATATATAACAACTATTGTATATACGCTTACAGCGTAGCCGAATCGACATCGAGGTGTGGACAACTCGTACATATTTTACACCTTTGTGTACATATGCTTCACTGGTCATTTGTCTGATGAAGTACATACCGTACTAGTCATCGAAACGTCACTTATGTACACTTTTTGATTGTGCTACATAAATCTTTACAATCCATACTTACCAACCTGAAAAAAATATTTAGAAACACTATTATGATATTATATACAGTATATACAATAGAAGTCTTAGAAAACATTTCCAGCATCAGTAATGGTACTCCTCATGATATCTCCCGTCAAATCCGTGAACGTAGCTTCAGACACCATAGTCCAATTGCCTGACGCTGTGATGGTGGAAAGATCTTAAATCTCGTCTCGGTTTAAGTCGCAAAACATAGCTCTCATCAAAAGCGTTCCAACACTTAGCACGAGTAGACCCTCGACTACCCAGCCTTTTTTATATTACTTCATTGTTTATAATACCTTGCAATGTATTCAAAATACATCCCTAACACACACGGTCTTTTTGAATTTAACAAAAGGCTTCATCTTGAACACAATCTATGGAATAAGAAAACGAAAAGAACAAATCTAACTCTGCTGAACGTTAAACCCTTTTGCACTTTCTGGTAGAATTGTATAATGAGATGTACATTTGTTTACAACATCGACGAAACGTTTGACGGGAGTAAACAGGCCTTGGCCAATTTTCAATACATCAAAAACATGCATATCACAATGTAACAAAAGTATTAACATTCTATGATGTAAAAATATAAATTTAAACGAAAATATAACAGATTTGATTGCGTTCAATCAAAAAGACACAAACAGTTGAATGTCAGCGATGAGTATCTAATTACATGGCCGGATTGTTCCTATTTATTTCCAGTATCGTTAAGTGTCCTCACATCTTTTATTTACATTTAAAGGTTTGTTTTTGTAGAGTTCGTTTATTTCGTTGTTTTGACATTGTCTCGATTGCTGTTCTGTTAAAACACTGCCGCTGCGTGATTCAAATCACTCGGATTTGCTGTAATGTTGCGTATTTTATTGTGTAAAGTAGAGAAGGGAGCTAAAACGACATAACAACCAAAATATAGCAATTCCTTTTTTTACAGGACACAAAAATGGACATCTGGACCCAGGTGTTCAAAGTTTGGTTAACTTTAACCAGCGGTTATTTAAAATATTCAAATTGGTGCCACTGAATAACAAAGGCTTTCAATGTGAAATGTATTCTCAAAACATCTCAGCTTAATCCGTCTCGTCAAATCTATAGTAGTGAAAAAATATAAGATGTTCTGAAATTGGTTATTCTTCTTTTTCCTAACCAATGGTTAAATCTAACCTATCTTTGTGCAACATGGACCTCGTTAAGTGTGTCGCCTAGTAACCACTGCCGCCTAGCAGCCTTTTCAAATCGGTATTTATCACGTGAAAATAGTATGAATAGTATATAACTGTGTAAGATACTATTAACAGTACAATTACCGTGTCATCAGCTTGAGTCTTCATAAAAAAGAAAAACGACATAAAACTCTTTTGCATTCTTGTTTAATGTAAAGCGTTTTTTTCATTTTGAGATGAAGCTATTTACAAATATATGTACATATATCTTTATAAAATGAACCTGCCCAAACCAATCATTATAAGGGCACGGTCTTTGTTGTAAATATTCATATAGGGGTTTCCTCATAAAACCCTTAACGAGGTTCAGGGAATCGGGAAACTTAGCACTGAAAATTGGGGAATTAAGGAAAATATAACATGATAAAAAGTTATAACAGTTTTGTTTCATTTGTTTCCTTCTGGATCTAAAAATAGCTAGGAGTGTCAGTTGGAAAGCATAACTATGAAAGATAGAAATTGGTCCGTTTTCGCACTTCAAAAAAGCTTTGTAAAATCCCCAACATGTGTTTTGGCCCCGGGATCATAAAACAATCTTAGACTTGAGATTTTTCTTTGCCAATCAAGTATGATGTCACTTTTCGTGACGTTATCTGTGATTGCCTAAGTCAAAACTTCAGACAAATTTAGACTTAAGATCGTTTCATGACCCTGGGCCCAGGACTCTGTTTCAATTATATGGTAATTGACCAAACGTATCAGTTAGATACACGTTTACCCTGGCAGTAAAGTTATCACAAGTTTCCAGATTGGTTAGGGATTGATTTTGACAGGATTAACTATATTCGTTATACATAATGTATGATAAATGTCTAACAGAAATTACAGGGTTGCAGTAGTATATATTTATAGCAATTTCAAAAACGACAACGATTCTAGGAATGCATGTTAAAATGAGATATGAAGCAATAATGGATTCTTGCACAGCTATCGCTGCTTATCAGATTCACGCCGCATGTATAAAATGAAATATTCCGTTTTACATTAGTTCAAAACAAAATAATATAAAAAGTAATCAATACCGATCAAGACATGCAAATGATGACCGTGAACAGCCTTGCATGTAGTACCACGACGTTATCAATCATAACATTGTAATTTAAAATTCGTAGAGAAGTCTGTATATTCCTAGAAAATAATAAATTCTAAAACGATGTACAAAAAGTGAAAGAAAATGCTAATACAAATATCGACCGCCACGAGAAATTGAATCTAATCATACAGAACTCACTAAATAATACATCAAAATGTATTTCTGATGAAAATACAAAATGTTATTAATTGATAAAAAAAATTACTTATAAAAATTTCACAAAATTTAAAATGAAATACTGCAGTGCACACGATCAATAACAGATGTACATTATGTAAGATTCCTTCTCCTGCACACACTTTCTAACGTTGTTATTTGTAACCAACTATCATAACTATAATCTATAGAACAACCTGCTGATACAGGTAAAGCAATGACAAAGTATACGCTGAGGAGGGTTAGACATTACTCGTTTTGAGCTTAACTGTCCAGCTTCACTTAGCAATTATCATGAATAATACTGACTCTTCCCATGAGCTTCAAAACAGGAGAAAGTGAATCATGTTTATGTCAGTTCTCCATCTTGTCTCTGATATTAGTAACTACTATATGTTTACGATAACAATATTCTCATTAGGAATAGCGAAAACACAAAGCTTCTAAGACAGCATCATCTCTCCTACGGCCACTGACCTGTCCGGTGATTTTAGCGGATGTTTTCATTCTTTATCTATTGAGAGAAGACTTCAGTTGATTAGATATTTCTAGGAAACAGATGATGATTCCCTCTTCATCTTCGTACATTTTTATAGCATTTCCAACCTTTATATATATATATGTGTGTGTGGCAATCATGGTCCTATTGATGCTAATATAAAGCCACCAATGTGGTCAAACTTTTATCGAACCTTAATTTGTCCACTATGGTTAACCACGGAAGTGCAGACCAGGGGTGTGTTACCTTGGAATCATTGTTAAGGTTCATTAGTAAGGAATCCCCAAACCACTTAAACTAGGTCTATTTATAAACGAACAACATTAGTCTACCAAATTAAACAATTCGGATCGTCATCCGGTCTAATTCCCCATTAAGTAAATTAATTAATTAATAAACTGCATGAATTTGTTTCCCGTTCATTAGCAATAGATTTCATTTTTGCATTTACAAACGTCTCCTGCTTTACATCACTAACACATTTGTGTTACATAGCAAGGGACCTCCTTCTATACATTTGATTCTTTATCACTAAGGAGTGCCTCTCATTCATTTAAACATGATCTTGGATATGGCGAGTCGTCACCAATGCTAATATATCATGATCAGTTGTTGTCACGTACATGTACCATAACAAAACAATGCTGAACTAAGTATATACAAATCACTTAAATGTTTACGTTCACTAGGAAAGAAATCAATAAGGAATAAAATACATAAGGACTATTCCTCCTGATTCAAATACATTTACAAAAACGACTTACATTATTGTTATTGTGTTCGTTTAGCAAATAAAAATACTAATAAACAAGTTGTTTGATGTACAACAGTAAAAAAAATAATCATTCGCGAGAACGAACCATTTTACCACAGTCGCCTGGTTTCCAAGAGAAATTTACCTATAAAACCCAAACAACAGTAGATTTACAGTAAATTGCTACACGGTACCAAAACTATTACAGCATATACAATTATGTTCCTTGACACATTATCTCTACTTCGGATATTTCTGAAGGACTTTGTAACGGTTGAGATTTCAATGCACTTCTAGACTGATCTCTACCCTAGTATTACTGAAGAGTCCTAAATGGGCTCGGCCATCACGTGCAGCAGATGTTATTGCCTTCAGCTTCCTGCACCGATATATTTTATTTTACATGTGCTTTTTCTTCTTCGTATTTGTAGCGATTAATCATATAAAAGGAACCAAGGCCCACTTGTATAAAACATCTCAGTTAGGGAAAATCTCAAACAATGTATTGTCTATGGGAAATCTTAGACTTGAGGAAATCTCAAGAGTTGAGATGTTTTATACAAGTGGGCCCTTGAACTTAACCCTAATATGAAGAATGCACAAAAATGTTCATAACAATGATATTAGTTTGAACAGGACGGTTATCCATCTTTAAGTTTATGATATTCATTTGAACAGGAAGTGTATATCCGTCTTCACAGTGGTTCATTGCATTAGTCTATTTGTCCGTTTCTAGTTGCATTTGTTTATAGTGAGTTACACCACTCGTTTAGATTTTCGTTTGGGAGCAGATATGTTCCTCTTTATAAACACTCCGTCATCACCATAGCTCTTCTTGCTCTTCGGTACCTTCTTCGTACGCCTTTGTCTTGACATATATTCACTTTCTGCGTCGCTGGACTGAAATTAAAACCAATAATGTTGATGGATTTGTACTTTTTGACATCTGCATAAAGAATGGGATGAAACGATAAAGGTCATTTATTTGATGCATATATATCGGTATACGTTAACGGCCTGTGAGCACTACAAGGACAGTTGAAGTAGCACTTTAAGAGTGATATCTTAATTTAACAAAGTAATCATATTGTAAAATACCAATGTTTTAATTGGTATGTTTAATTAATCAATTTTATCTGAGCAATGCGCTTAAGTAAGTTATTTCCATAATAGTGAGGCTTGGCAACAATAAAGCTTATCCTAAATTAGGCTCTCGTAATATGTCAAAAGCTGATCCGAAATAAGAATATGGTCAGACGTCTGAACGACGGTAAGGTGATCCAAAATAAGGATACCGTCAGATGTCTGAACGTCAGTAAGCTGATCAAAAATAAGGATATCGTCAGATGTCTGAACGTCAGTAAACTAATCAAAAATAAGGATACCGTCAGATGTCTAAACGTCAGTAAACTGGTCAAAAATAAAGATATCGTCAGATGTCTGAACGTCAGTAAACTGATCCAAAAAAAGGATACCGTCAGATGTCTGAACTTCAGTAAACTCATCAAAAATAAGGATATCGTCAGATGTCTGAACGTCAGTAAACTAATCAAAAATAAGGATACCGTCAGATGTCTGAACGTCAGTAAACTGATCAAAAATAAGGATACCGTCAGATGTCTAAACGTCAGTAAACTGATCAAAAATAAAGATATCGTCAGATGTCTGAACGTCAGTAAACTGATCCAAAATAAGGATACCGTCAGATGTCTGAACTTCAGTAAACTGATCAAAAATAAGGATATCGTCAGATGTCTGAACGTCAGTAAACTGATCCAAACTAAGGATATCGTCAGATGTCTGAACGTCAGTAAACTGGCAATATATCCCCCATAATCATCAAGAAGCAATCTGCCCATATAGTTGACATTTGACATTTGGACTTCAAAAAGAATCGCAAGGAAGCAAAATATACATGTTTATATGTACTATGATGTGAGTCTTGTTTCCTTCCACTTCCATATTTGCTGGGCTAACAGAAATGTAAATACCGGTGCAATACTCATTTGTTAGCTTTGATTTGTTTTATTTCACCTTATATACCTCCTACATCAAGATCCAGGGTCAAAGTCAGAGATCCACTTTGTCTTTGACCTTTGGACCCAAATGACCTTGACCATTAACCTAGTGATCCTGAACTTTGGTCAGTTGACTTATTCTGTAATTCCGACCAACTTTGCTTCTTGATCAGTGAAAAATACAAAACTTGACCTTGACCCTTTGGACCCGTAACCTGGACCTAAGGTCATTTGACTCTGTGTTAAGTTCTGAACAACATTGCTTCATAATGTCATAACAAAATGTTCATCAGGGAAAAGGTACAAAATTTGACCTTGACCCGTAATCTGATGACCTTGACCTTTGGTCTGTTGACTCCTTGTTTACTTCTGATCAACTTTGCTTCATCATGTCATAACAAAATGTTCATCAGTGAAAAGATGCAAATTTGACCTTGACCTTTGAATCTGATGACCTTGACCTTTGACCTCGACTTTTTACCTCAGTGTGTCTCTTTGTTTAATTCCGAACAACTTTGCTTCATAATGTCATAGCGAAGTGTTCACCAGTGAAAAGCTACAAAATTTGACCTTGACCCCTAATCTGATGACCTTGACCTTTGGTCTGTTGACTCCTTGTTTACTTCTGATCAACTTTGCTTCATCATGTCATAACAAAATGTTCATCAGTGAAAAGATGTAAAATTTGACCTTGACCTTTGAACCTAATGACCTTGACCTTTGACCTTGATTTTTTACCTCTATCTGTATTTTTGTGAACTGAACATCTTGATCAAGTTTCATGTACATCGGTCAATAAATACCAAAGCTATCAGCCAGGAACAGAATTTGTGGACAGACAGACAGACAGCCAGACAGAGTGATTACTATAGGGCACCCATATCGGGGCCCTAATAAGGATATCGTCAGATGTCTGAACGTCAGTAAGCTGATACGATATTTGGATATCGTCAGATATCTGGTCAACTAAACACAAGAAATGCAACACCTTTCTGATGGATTCAATTGTTTGGCAATGACTCCATAAATATATCACAGAATGGCACAATCTATACCTCATTTACCACTACTAACTTTTCATAATAAATATCAGACATTCAAGTTAGATCCAATTTGAAAAATATTCACAGTTTATAATTCTGCATGTCTATACCTCGTTTTCGATACATTTTCGCTGTTGATATCATACCACATTTAACTAGACATGGATGAAGGTTTTATGAAATACATTGTGGTGCTCTGTTTAATAGGTATTGAAGTAATCGACAAAAATAACTCAAGGAGACAGCAATTTTTACCAAAAAAGTCTGAGTTTAAACATAACAAAGAAACATGATATATATAAATTTGTAAAAGAAAAAAAAAGAGAAAAAGAAGAAAAAATATATCCATGTTTAAAATATTTTGAAAATATATGCTGAAGAAGTAAAGATAATGCATCCTTCTTCCTTAAAACTTCTCTAAATCTGAAAACAAGTAGGTGCTTAAAATGCTTATATTGTGCAGAAATAAGATCTTCATCAGCACACAATGTATAAAACAAATATAACAAGAATGACAAATGAAAAAAAAAAGACAAACATAAGAAAAGAAAAATGAAAAAAGCATGTATTGGAGAGAAAGAAAAACTTTTCAAATAAAGTTCTAAGCTGAAATGTAGGAAAAGCTGTAAACTAATCAAAACCCTAGTTAGTTAAGGGACAATTTTTTCTGCAGCTTTTGTTTTTTTATAGTAAATCATTGCCTGACTTTTCAAGGCCACATTTTGTTGAATTCTGTGACACAAAAGTCACATATTTGTTTTGGAATATATATATTGCTCTTTCACAATAGTGACTGTTGTCAGTCATATTTATCTTACCTGTGTTAGTTAACTTCAAATCTTTTTTAAAGAAAATCAGATTTAGCCTTCCTCAATTAGTTTTTTCCAATGTTTCTCATCTTTGTTATTTATTCTATCATAATACAGCACTTTTTATCATTTTTGGAATAACTTGCTCTACCTTGAAAATGTAGGGTAACTTCTCAAGACCCTAAAATAAACTCTTCTTAAAGGTTTGGGTTGTGATATGGGTAGGTAAACGGAGACATTTTAGATGACACTGTTTGTTACCAAAGTAAGAACAAGTTCTATTGTTATTAATACAATGAAAAGTGTGCAACTATCACAGTTTTAGTACAGATTCTGAAGATTTCAAACTGTTAGGTGACAGGAAGGTAGTTTTCTAGATACACTCGATATACACCAGTAAGAGGAAGTGCTTTGTGTGGAGGAAGAGACGAGAAATGACTCTATTCCTCATAAGTCTAAAGAAGAACTTTTTAAGTTTGACCTCTCACCTCCTGTTCTAAATATGTCTTCGAGTTATGTATGTTGGTGGCCACATTCGCATTGTCCTTTAATTAATTTGAAAAGCAAAATGTTTGATATGTTTGATATTTGTTTTTCAAAACTATTGAATCCTACAAATGACTATAAAATATTTCAATAAAACAATAAAACATTTCAATTTGAAAACATCCATCACATATTGAATTTGAAACATTTTATCAATATTTATCAGATAAACTTATCATAACCAGGAAACATTTTCAAAATTACACAATCTTCACCAGGTACTTTTTGCAAGTATGTCAATGTGGTTAACTTTGTTTTCATGAAATAATTTTAACTTTCTATTTTTTTCATTCACTTAAATCTTTAAATAGGGAGAGGACTGCCTAAGATAAGGAAAAATCTTCACTTAAGTTTGTGAAATCCAGATCTGGTATTCAATGAATACAAAACGAAACACATTAATGTGTGCAAATATCCCCTTTAGGGGCAATCCATAACTATCAAATTAGAATGGGGTCTGGTCATCAATGCCATTTACATACTCCTTTGTTTATATCCAAAAACAAATTAGGGAGGCCATCATGTCATTAATCATGTTTATCAGACGGTTACATGAGTTTAGGCTCCAGGAAGTTTGGTAAAACTATCTGTGTGATATAATATATTGACTGGAGCAGTACAATAATAAGATAATGTCCCTATATAGATATCTCCTGCTACAAGGTAAACGAATCAAAGTAGGAAAAAGGACTATTGATAATAATGAGGAACTCTTCTACAAAAGTAAGTGAACCCTAAGCCACTGTATTTACACAAACAGGTCTTACAACAGGGACTAGTTCACATGGGTATATCATATCACACTGTAACACTTCCTCCATAAATTCCTATAACAGAAATTAACACCTGAGGCATACCTAAAAAAAACATTTCATGCTCTGCAGACAAATTGAAGTTTAATAGAAATTATAGTATCAAAATAAATGTGGGCACAGGGAGTCCCTGTAATGGTAACGACAGGAATTACCTGTAACGGTAACCACATAAATTACCTGTAACGGTAAACACAGGAATTACCTGTAATGGTAACCTGTAACGGTAACCACAGGGATAACCTGTAACGGTTACCACAGGGATAACCTGTAACGGTAACCTGTAACGGTAACCACAGGAATTACCTGTAATGGTAAACACAGGGATAACCTGTAACGGTAACCTGTAACGGTAACCACAGGGATAACCTGAAACGGTAACCACAGGGATAACCTGTAACGGTAACGACAGGAATTACCTGTAATGGTAAACACAGGAATTACCTGTAATGGTAAACACAGGGATAACCTGTAACGGTAACCTGTAACGGTAACCACAGGGATAACCTGTAACGTTAACCACAGGGATAACCTGTAACGGTAACCACAGGGATAACCTGTAACGTTAACCACAGGGATAACCTGTAACGGTAACCACAGGGATAACCTGTAACAGTAACCACAGGAATAACCTGTAACGGTAACCACAGGGATAACCTGTAACAGTAACCACAGGGATAACCTGTAACGGTAACCACAGGGATAACCTGTAATGGTAACCACAGGGATAACCTGTAACGGTAACCACAGGTATAACCTGTAACGGTAACCACAGGGATAACCTGTAATGGTAACCACAGGGATAACCTGTAACGGTAACCACAGGGATACCCTGTAACGCTAACCACAGGGATAACCTGTAACGGTAACCACAGGGATAACCTGTAACGGTAACCACAGGAATTACCTGTAATGCTAACCACATGAAGTCCCTGTAATGGTAACCACAAGAATTACCTGTAATGGTTACCACAGGAAGTCCCTGTAATGGTAAGCACAGGAAGAACCTGTAATGGTAACCACAGGAAGTACCTGTAATGGTAACCACAGGAAGTCCCTGTAATGGTTATCACAGGAAGTCCCTGTAATGGTTATCACAGGAAGTGCCTGTTATGGTTACCACAGGAAGTGCCTGTTATGGCAACCACAGGAAGTCCCTGTAAAGGTAACCACAGAAAGTGCCTGTTATGGTAACCACAGGAAGTCCCTGTAAAGGTAACCACAGGAAGTGCCTGTTATGGTAACCACAGGAAGTCCCTGTAAAGGTAACCACAGGAAGTGCCTGTTATGGTAACCACAGGAAGTCCCTGTAAAGGTAACCACAGGAAGTGCCTGTTATGGTAACCACAGGAAGTCCCTGTAAAGGTAACCACAGGAAGTGCCTGTTATGGTAACCACAGGAAGTCCCTGTAAAGGTAACCACAGGAAGTGCCTGTTATGGTAACCACAGGAAGTCCCTGTAAAGGTAACCACAGGAAGTGCCTGTTATGGTAACCACAGGAAGTCCCTGTAAAGGTAACCACAGGAAGTGCCTGTTATGGTAACCACAGGATGTATCTCCATGGGAGGAGACAGTGAATAAACTTCAATTGTAAGTCTTATCAACACACAAAATCATTTTTAATAGAAAGATTTTTTTTAGATTTCATTTACAAGAGAAAAGTTTGAAACTCATGAAAGCTGAAGAACGTTTGGCCAATGCTACGAACATGAATATATTTATATCATATAAATATTTTTCTGATAAGTGGTTTTGATTTTACCCGAAACTTTTTAGTATTTTTAAATCATATGTGTACCTTTATTTAATATACCAGTAGAAATGAAAGTGAAAATTACAGAATATACATTGATTTAAACAAGAAAGAGAAACATTCTGTACTTAATCTTAATTTTATTTATTTCAAAACAAAAGATATTTTACATTTTTCTTTTCATCTTGTATTTTTATTTCCTCCAAAAGAATATTTTGAAATAATCAAGAGACTCTATCAAGCATATATCCCAGGAAAGGCTCCTATTAACATGATATTAATGTACAATAAATTCCTTTTTGGAGAGCTAGGATACAATGGTTGTTAAGAACAATGATTGCTTAACTGGGGTTTACTCGGAGCAGATTGAACTGTATTGCATATTTCCAATGCTACCATAGAACAAAAATTTGTTGCAGAAACTTATTTCCTCCTCAATTACAAGTAAATATCTGTTATTAACCAGAACAGTATATATTGACTTACCCCTGAGTTGTAGTCACGGCTCTGAAGTTGATACTTCAGGTCGGCTATTTCCCTTCGGTATTGGTCAAGTTGTGCCTCTAGTTTCTCTCTCCTCAGTCTCTCGTAATCCAGCTGGGCCTCCAGTTCACTGATTGTCCTGATGTAATAGGAATAAATCGTCTGTCAATGGTTTGTGTGTAATATACAATAAACCTAATAGTGTAATGTTACTTGGTTTACTTGCCACCTTGCTGTTGTTTTTTAAGGTCGCCTGACCATTTATATATAAACAAAAACAAAACAAAAATCTCCCATCAAGAAAACAAACTTCATTCCAATGCCAAAGTTCTGCTAGACAAATTACAACAGTGAAACAAGGTGTGACTTGTACTGTAATCATTTATAACAGTTATAAACTAAGGTACATTTTCACTGCACGAAAGTCTGGCAGCATGTCACACTATTACTTTTTAAGCTACCTACATATTTTGTATTACAAGGTTACCTTCTAATGTAAAAGTTCTGAAGGACACTTAGTTGTCCTTATCCCTGACTTCCTGTATTACAAGGTTACCTTCTAATGAAAAAGTTCAAGGACACCTATTTGTCCTTATCCCTCATTTCCTGTATAATAAGGTTACCTTCTAATGTAAAAGTTCAAGGACACTTACTTGTCCTTATCCCTCATTTCCTGTATTACAAGATTACCTTCTATTGTAAAAGTTCAAGGACACTTATTTGACCTTATCCCTCATTTCCTGTATTACAAGGTTACCTTCTAATGTAACTGTTCAAGGTCACTTATTTGTCCTTATCCCTTATTACCTGTATTACAAGGTTACCTTCTCATGTAACAGTTCAAGGTCACTTATTTGTCCTTATCCTTTATTACCTGTATTACAAGGTTACCTTCTAATGAAAAAGTTCAAGGACACCTATTTGTCCTTATCCCTCATTTCCTGTATAATAAGGTTACCTTCTAATGTAAAAGTTCAAGGACACTTACTTGTCCTTATCCCTGATTTCCTGCATGCGTTTGCGGTCTTCTATCAGATGACCACCTAGCTGTGTGGAGTTCTTTTGGGCGACTTCAAGTAATCGTTCTAGCTCCTCATACTTCTGCCTAGCTCGCCCTGTCAAGGTCATGCAAAGGTCAAGTTTACGGCAAGATAATAAGTACAGCAATATCAAATGTACAGCAAGAGAAAATTTACATAAAATATCATGTCTACAAACAAATCGGGTTTATTGAAGTTTACTGAAAGGTCAAGTTTACTTAAAAGTCCAGGCGACTGAGAGGTCATATTTACTGAAAGGTCAAGTTTACTTAAAAGTCCAGGAGACTGAGACGTCATGTTTACTGAAAAGTCAAGTTTACTTAAAAGTCCAGGTGACTGAGAGGTCATTGTTACTGAAAGGTCAAGTTTACTTAAAAGTCCAGGCGACTGAGAGGTCATGTTTACTGAAAGGTCAAGTTTACTTAAAAGTCCAGGCGACTGAGACGTCATGTTTACTGAAAAGTCAAGTTTACTTAAAAGTCCAGGTGACTGAGAGGTCATGTTTACTGAAAGGTCAAGTTTACTTAAAAGTCCAGGCGACTGAGAGGTCATATTTACTGAAAGGTCAAGTTTACTTAAAAGTCCAGGCGACTGAGAGTTCACGTTAGCTATAATGGTAAAGTTTTCAGAAATGTCATATTCACAGCAAGATCATTGAACAGAAAGGTGAAAATTCACAGTGAAGCATATTTACAGCATGTCAAATGAGAGACATTGGATAGTTTATTTCTATCTAATGATGTCATTTTGAAATAAAACAATAAAAAAACTCAAATTGAGCCTCAGAAAAGGGAGGCTACTGAAATAAAAAAAAAGGACAATCATTTTCTTGAAATAACATTATTTTTTATTTCATTTTCAATAATATTGAGTCCAAGTTACATAGCCAATATTTCTATTAAAACTACTTGATCAATACAATGCCTATCACATGTGTAACTATTTAGATGCAATATAGTTCATATTAAGAAATAATCTAAGTTAACTTGAAATAAGAAATTTCAACATATTTTAACACTTCCGAGATTTTAATCTTATTAAAGTAACATTTTTCCTATTGAAAACCTTTATTTTTCCTTTGTTTTTGAGTGATGGATAATATTGTCCATACTCTCAGCTGTAAAAAAAATCCTTTGAATTTGTTTGCATCATTGTTTATTGAGCAGCTTTGTAGAAATCATAATGTCAACATATCTTACCATATTTGTCCTTTTTTGAAATGAGTTCTTATGAATATGTTTTTGTAAAATTGGTCCACTTCAAACACAAAGAAAAACAAGTGTTCTGAGAATTTGTCCTACCTCAAAGCCATTATGTAATAGTAAGTAAGCCTGTCTTTAAAAGAATCAGCATCTTACAGATTTCATCACTTACCTCGAGATTCTTTGCGTTGTTTATCGGTAAGTAGGACTGAACGCCCCTCTGTGTTGCCACCGTCAAGTTCATCGTCCTCATCTTCTCCAACAACTATCGTAGTTTCTTCCTCTGTTCATAAAAAAAAATGTCACTCTATCATTTGGATACATATTGGTTTGCTTTTCTTTCCAGCATTCAAGTTCATTTTCATACAGATAAACTACTAGACTTTCAAAACTGTCCCTGACTACATCTCCTTTTTCTTTGTCAGTGTATCCTTCTTTTCAATATTCATCCGCTAAGAATACCTCTCCTACCTCCAAACCCTTCCCTTCTCCCTCTCTTTACTTTCCCTATCTACATCTGTTCATCTTCCTCCCATCATTTTTTCATTTCCTTTCCCTTCCTCTCTAACCTACTTATTTTCCCCATAACAGTCCTTCCCTCATTGCTTCACTTTCCCTTCCATCCCTATATCTTTCCGTCCCTTCTCTTTCTATACCTTCCATCCCTATACCTTCCATTTACCATCTCTTCCCTTCTCAACCCGGCCATTTTCCTTATATATTGTAGTTTATTCTCCTTTCCATGTTCTCCCATCCGTTTTCCTCCCCTCCCCATATCTTTTTCTTCCCTTCTCCTTCCCTTTCTCATTTCTTCGTTCCTGACCATACTCCATGTCTTGCCATCCTATCCCATTGTTCTTCCATTGTTCCCCTCCCATGCATGCCCATATCATACCATCCCCACCTCTCCATATACCTTTCTTTCCCTTCTCCTTCCCGACCCCATATCTTTCTTTTCTCCTTCCCTTTTCTCATATCCCTCCTTTCCTTCCCCTTCCTTTACTCAAATTCTCCCTTTCCCTCCCCCACACTTTTGTTTGTGTCCATTTCCCTTTCCTCCCATCTCCTTACCTGGATCTCCTCCCAGTAATTTAACACAAGCAAGCTGCGAGAATCGTCTCGCCACATCCCTGGGTGTCTCCCCCGCCTGGTTTGTAATGGTCATGCTGGCTCCCATCTCTATCAGCCACTGTAGGATGTGGATGTGGCCGTTACCAGCAGCTGGAATAGGAAGGACAATTGCTATACTGCATATCAAATCAATAACAAAAATAGAAAGTCACATTAGAAAATAAGTCAGCATATATTTAAGTTATGGTTTTCTCAAGCATTGCTTTTCAAAACTTCAAAATAAATTTTTGAACATTTCCCGCATTTTAACAACTAATGAAAAGTACATAAAAATTACTCATGCAAGAAAACTAGGAAGTTCATTTCACAATTTAATTATACAATGTTTTAACTACAGTTGAATTATGTTGTAACAATGGACGAGAAGCCCTAAAAGTGATCGCGACAGACGGTTGCCAACCACAGATGGTGCTACTTTACTGCATTTACTAGGTCTGTGTTAAGTTAACATAGATCAGGTATGAAGATCATAAAATGACCGCAAGTCTAAATTTGTCTTAATTTTTTATTTTACCAATCACAAATAGCATCATGAAACGTGAAGTCGTTCTTTATTGTCTAAGCAAAAACTGAAGTCTAAGACTGTTTCATGATCTCAGGACCTATTTTTTTTTAATTTCACCAAACAAAAAATGTATATGTGAAAAATCATAGAGTTGCATTTACTTCCATTATTTTTTTAAAAGAACGGTCCCTTTGCAATGATGGAAATTATGAAAATAAAACTTGTTAAGATTCCAACTTAGCAAATACATGAAGTGGAAATATTTCTGATTGATAGGCAAAGTTCATAGCCATGCAGCTAGTGTTGTTCTCAAAATCCATGGGTGTTTGGCGACCTTATTTCTCTCAGTAGTTGAAAACTTCAATATCACAGTAAAGTATTTAAGACACAATAAACACAACATTTGGTTATTTGGAAATTGTGTAAACATGTAAAAATTGCCAATAGTCACAATTTCAAGAAATTTCAAGAAATTTCAAGAAATGAATAATATTTAGAAAAGCATTCACTGGTCTATATACCACATTTTCAGAGAAAAAAATTGAATAATGAATTTAAAACATAAAACTTCAAATTAAACGTCAACATAAAGATTTATTTTAGTCATACCTTTGTGAGCAGGTGTAGACCCCTTGTCATCCCTTTCATTTATATTTACAACCCCGTTCTCCACAAGCATGCGTAGATGGTCCAGCTCACCACCATAGGCTGCCACATGGGCAGGGAACGAGAGGTCTGAAAAAAACGTTGAGAAATATTGTAGGGCAACCTCAAAATACTTCCATACTGTAAAAGTTCTACAACACATCTCCCAGGTACGGAGAGTATGAACCTATCATCAGCCGCACATACAATAATGACCATGAGTATCCGTTTCAGACCAAACACTTGTTGAAGAAGTATTTCACTAACCAAGCTTTTGTATGTTATGACCTGAATTGATTGAAATTTAAATGCTAAGTTTGTTTTGAACACAAACAGTAATTAAAAACTCATGTTGTGAGCTTTGGAAAACATCTGTTTTCTTTGTCAAGGAAAGAGTGAAAATGACCAGTGTCTCTTAACTGCTGAAACCACTCAATCTCAGTTGGTAGAGACTGATATATAATATCTAAAACATCACTTGTACATGTATTTATACTTGATATTTATACCGAAAATGTTTTGTTGTGTTCAAAAATAGTGTTCTTCTTAATAACACACTTAACTTTATATTACATTCCTGACAAAAGACATCAGGAGAGATATACTTACTTTCTGCCTCATCAGGGTGGTCTCTCTCCCACTCGATACCATTGATGTACTCCACTATGTAATCTTTGTAGAACTGTTGGGCAAGGTCCTTGGGCGTCTCACCTTGGTCATTTCTTGCCCCAAGGACGTGCATGGGGCTCACCCCTGAACTGACTAGGTACTTAAGGCAGGGCAGATGACCCTCTGATGCTGCTAAATGGGCTGTTATTAAAGATCATGTATAAATAATGAAAGACTTGTCAAGTTTTAAATCCTGCAGATATTTTAATACAGTATACAAAAAGTTATAGTTGTTTTCTGAATTTGTGCTGTCACTTAAAAAATATGTTATTCAAAACTTTAACACTATTTTTTTCACAGATTTAGGACTTTTCTGGAAAAAAACCTAAATCATTATATGAATTGTTGAGGGAGAGGAGAGGGAGGGAATGGCATAGGGGCACTTGTGATAGATTTTCAAACTATGGTTACAATAAAGAATTACAATGTAGATATGGTATGTTGGTGACTGGTACTACAAATATACATATTAAGGGAACAGTACATTGTTTTATGTCCATACTGATGTTTGCACCATGAACTTTGGTTTGAACTCCAGATAGGTTGAGAGTTTAAATCATATTTCATGTTTTAATCGCAGGTTCTGTCACAGATTAGAATACAAAATGTATCCAATCATAACATAATTACATGCTTTGCAAATGAATCATGTTGGAAGTACAAATATATTTCAGGAAAGGCAATATGTAGTGAAATTCACTATAAATTTCTGTCAACAAGCACAACAACAAACCACACTTCAGATATTGTTCATTGTTACTAAATTATCATTAATATTTATAAAAGTAATCAGTATTTAATATTTTGAAAACTGGTCCATGTTCTACACTTTTATCCTAGGATCTTCTACGTAAGATTAAGGTAAGCTTTAGTGTATATTGTACCTGGCGTGTTGCCCGTGTCGTCGGTGTCCTCTGGAGTACCTCCCCATTTACAAAGTAATTGGAGACACCCTAACCGTCCATGGTAACATGCAGAGTGTATGGGTGTCCAGCCATTTTTATCTGTGGCCCCCACGTCCTGAAGAAACAAAAATTTACTGTTGTTAATTTAAAAGGACCAAACTTATTGCAGCATAATACACCAGAGTAAACACAAGTTAATGTATCACACTCAATCTTTAGCAACATAATCCTTGACAATAATTTTTGCTGTGTACTAAATTTTGTGCTTTATCATGAATGTAGCAAAGTTGATATAGTCAACACTCTTTAATTCATCCACGAAAAAGAGGTTCAAGGGAAAAGTTTTTTGTATTGCTAGTAGTCAAGCCATTTCAAAGTTCTGTCATTCAATCTGGAGCTTAAGATGGCTAATTAGACAAGAGGGCTTCTTTGTAAGCATTAAGCTGAAGAAATATTTCAGGGACATTCAACTTTCTGATGCAATATATCTTTTTTTTTAATAATCCAGAGATTGAAGTATGCCTGCTCCTACTGATCTAAAGTTTGATAATTTCCTCCTCTACAAAAAAATGAAATCTTTCTGTATGGTTTTGTCTTCACATGTGGAAATGAAAATTGACATCTCTGCATTTAAACAGTATTTTTAAAGAATTCCATCCCCATCGGGTCATGTAAATGATATCTGTAATTTCAAGTTCCCAGGCAGAACTGGCCCAGATTCTGTCTCTTTCCAGTTGGAACCTGTCTCACAATGTTATACAGACATAATACTGTATTAACCACCCCCTATCTGGGGATTTGTGTACTCACCACTCCCGATCTGAGAATGGTGTTGAGGGTGAAAGAATTTCCGTGTGCGGCACTCAGGTGGGCTGGTGTACTGCCTCGCGCATCCTTTGTTGACATGCTCACACCATTGTTTACGAGGGCCTGGAAAACACACAGTTGTAGAAACTTCAATTAGTTTTGTCATTAAGATATCACTCATCAATACTTAAAGTTAGGATAAGCATGTAGCCAAAAGTTTGTATTGATCATTAAAGACATTAAATGGTCGTGTTTGTCTAAAATTAGCCAAAACAACTCATTAGAGCACAGCTAAAAAAAAAAAAAGTGATAGTACAACAAAGCTATATAATATCCTTTAAGTGGTAATTGTACAGCAGGCTATATATATCTTAACCATAATTTGTTTAAACAAAAAGTTTTAGGAACTACAATGTAATTTATTTCATCTATTTGGTATTTTCTCAATGTCATGTGTTTGCCCCAGAATTAAAGCATAGCCAGCTGGTCAAAAGATATAAATGTCCAGGTACATGTTTTTTGCGCATGCAGCTTATATAACACTGCACGTAAGTCGTAACAGGTTTTGAGATTTGTTCTTCTTCAAATTCAGGTGCTGCACCTCATAATAATTGCCTAGCAGAATACTAAAACAGAATCAAATTTCAAAACTATTTTACCTGCATACAAGCATCCTGTCCCCGTATTGAAGCTATGTGTGCCGGACTCCAGCCCTTGGGTGTCACTACAGTGGCATCTGCACCGTGCCACAACAGCCAGTGTAGACACTAGAAGGGAGATAACTCAGTTTCATAACAAACAGGTCAACACTATGGCACTCAACTGTTCCATAAAAATTTTTACTTTAAAACCAATAGAAAAATTAATCGGTTACTATAGCAAGGACATCTCTAGGATTTTGAGAGCTGGAGACAGGTAAACTTTGTCTTGACCTATACAGCCATGCTGTTTCAGTTATCTTGCATGGCTGCATGGAAATTATTTTTTTTAGATCTATAATTGAAAGTAAAAGCCATAATACAAAGTACTCATAAGTTGACTTCATTTAGGGAAAGAAGATGATTGCTCACCTCCAGAGCGCCGCTGTTACAGGCAGCATGAAGAGGAGTGAATTTGTCCTTCTCTTCTACTTCATTTATACTGGCCCCATTCTTGACCATTGTCTCCATCTCCATGACGTTGCCATGTTTGACTGCCTCATGTATGGTCGCATAACCTTTTTGTGTGCCTTAAGGAATAAAAGATTAATATGCCAGATAAAATTGAGGTTAAATTTGAATTCACAGGATATAACAGTAATAATTTTGAAAGAAGAATCATTAAAATTCAATCTCAACAGAATCAGGTATTTTTCTTTGTAGAAGGGAAAGGGTTCTAGTTATAGCTTAGCTGCAAAATTGTGTCGTATATAAGCTTACTTTGATCAGTCATTAGTATAGTTCAAGGCAGGTCAAGTTAAGTTACCAGGGAAAGTAAAATATATAAATTGCTAAACACTAAAAGCATCTGGAAATTCTATACACCCATGCAACGGCTATTTAAATCCGAATGTTAACATGTCTACAAAAGGTGAACTTGAACCGGTGTTAATGAAAACTTATCTACTCTGAACATATATAATTGTACGCTGTAACGGTTAGATCCACCCTCAGATATACTACAATGTTCACAGTATACATGTATTTCAATGTGGTCATTTTTTATGCAATAAATTTCACATAATATATATTTATTGAACATTAACAAATTTATATCGAATCTCTCAAATGTTCAACAGCATTAATTACGTCAGTATTTAACCGTAACGGGTTGTTTCGCCCCAAATCCCGTTCGCCCTAAGGGTTGTTTCGCCCCAAATCCCGTTCGCCCCAGGTTGTTTCGCCCTAAAAAAATATTTTTTCTTTAAGTCATAAATATCATGTTAAAAGTTAAAAAACTTATCTTTCTCTTGAATCAAGATATAATTACGTGCCGGAAGGTGAAGAACGAACCTGTATATTCATCACCGAATCCTACAACGGACATACTAATATCCGGAATATACTGTATATTATCGTTTTCATTTCTTTACCTTAATTAAGTAATGTTGTTCTTTATAAAATGCACCTGTATATATTTTAACGTTAAAAATATTTAAAACATGATATAAACAATTAAAAAGCACCCTGTCACGTCAGCCATTTTATATAAAACAAATTTCTCTTAGTACATAGATACGTATACGAAATGGACATAGATTAGGTACAAATTGCGTATAAGAATGAAAAGAAATTAATACTTTAATTATATATATCTATAATATATAGATAAGATATGGATATTATGATATAATGAAACTAAATTAATTTCTCTAAGTACAATACTTATAATATATAGATAAGATATGGACATATAATGAAACTAAATTAATTTCTCTAAGTACATAGATACGTATACGAAATGGACATAGATTAGTTACAAATTGCGTATATAGACTGAAACTACATACGTATATTAATTGCGTATAAGGATGAAAAAAAAAAACTTTCTCTAGAGACGTATACGAAATGTAAATAATTCCCCAAGTACATAGATACCTATTTTGATTGTTAAGCAGATGTGTACATTTGAATTATGAAATAAATGTTGCTGTCTGCGTCTAACCACGGAGTCGCACAAAATGCACAAATCATCCATAACGTAAATTACGTTATGGATGATTTGTGCATTTTGTAACTTGTTATAAATAGAGCATTTCTCAGTACTGTGTTATAACTCAACATTACTAATGGTGAATTATAACACACTATTGAGAAATGCTCTATTTATGACAAGTTACCTACTCAAAATTATCTACTCAAATATGCATATTAATTTTTATTGGTCGGTACTATCACAGACTTAAATCTAATTCCGTGGTACTATCAAAACTTCTCAAAATGGACATAATCTCCAATTAGCAAAAAACAACACAGACGTGTGCAGAAATCAAGTAAAGAAAACATCGTCACACGGCGATGAGTACGCGTACAGCCGTACACTAAACTAATTTAAATGTGTTAACATGGAAAATAATATTGTTGTATACCCCACCATTTTTGTTTCATTTCACTATTCTTACTTATTTCTAAAATTAAATTCAATATATGTTATAATGTGTGTCGGCGTTAAGAAAATAACGTAATCCGTTTTTTGCTTTACAATGTACTTAAAACAACACAAACACATTTTTTTTTTTAAATAAAACTGATTTTAATGAAATGAAAGACTAAGAAGATTTAATTTGTGACTTGAAACAAATAAAAATGAAAAGAAAATACCAAACAATGTTTCGCCCTAAAAAAATTGTTTTTGGGCGAAACAACCTAGGGCGAACGGGATTTGGGGCGAAACAACCCGGAACCTTATTTAACATACTGCTTGTAACAAGAGTTATTTCCCCTATCAATAGTTAAAGCTATAATTTGATGAATGATTTGATAACATGCTGTCTAACTATATCATCGTAATATTTATGCGTATAGCTATTTAAATTTACTATCTACATTAAATTATATGAATAATATTAACATGAAAAGAAAGATTTAAAGTCATTTAATTGCACAAATCTTCTCTTCAGACTATACTGAGTTTTAATGTAAGCAGGTTTATCTGTTCGCTTTTTTACATAGGTAACGTGAAGTATCTAGCCTCGCTATATGTATCGAAATGATCATATCAACTGATGAACTAGATCTAGTTAGCAGGCAAAGCATTTTAACACGACGTAAGAACACAGATATTTCCTCGTCGGTATGTGTTCAACGGTTCAACAACCTACGCAAACGAAATGTTCTGCGGGATTTTGAGAATGAAATATCGTAATGTATATCTATAATACGACAATCCTTTTGTTTCCAGGTGCTAAAGCAACAAGATAATAAGTGATTGAATTAACATTTTGAACAAATTACTGTTTTCTTACCTGGCATCTTGGTTGCCAACACTGCTGCTAAATTTGTTTACACTAATATGTAGGACCGCACCAACTCTTCAAAGAAGAAAAGCATTGGCTTAAAATAAACTATTAACTATTTATGATATTGAAATAAAATAAAATCGAAACGTTAAAACAGATATCTATGAGCAATTCCATTAAAATACAAAATAAAGTATATTATTTATATAGTTTATGTTTTTATTTCATTTAATCAATAATAGCAGGTGCGCGCTCGTGCCGCTTTCAATGACCTTCACCTTTACCAGCCATAACACACGTGGTTATGTTTTGACTGGCAGAGTTGAAACTTCATCATAAATTTGCATGTAATGAGGTATGATATTTAGTTTTCAGATACCTTACTTGACGAATATATGTGTTATAACTGCACAGATTAACTGTAATGTTTATATATCATAACGTTACTGAGTTTGGCTTTATATGCGTAATTAACACCGGAACCTACAGACCTAGACAGTATCCGACATAGTCATGATAGTCATCGATATTTATTGAAACATTCAGAGTCTGCTTGTCTAAAGTACAAAATAATTTTATCTTCCATCAGCGTAAACAGCTTGTATGACATGTCGCTGAGTTCGCTTCAAAATGTCCCAATATACATTACTTAATGTTAACACACACCCATCAAAACAAATTATAAGGACCTCTTGCACATATCGTTTCTAATTGATGATTAAATGGACATGCAGTTATTATCCCCAACTAACTATATATCTATATGTTGTGGAAATACAAACGTGTGATCTTGCAATTGAAACACTATCAATCTTAAGCTTGATGGCCTCTTATACTTGATGTTTCTGACTTAAGTTTGATGGTTGAATTGCTATCACTGCAACCATGGGATAACATATTACCAAAGTACAACATATATACGTCTTCTTTCTTGTAACAAGAGCACAGTTAGTGTAACTTATGGTGTAACCAGTTTAAAATGAAGACGATCTTCACAATTCATGTCTAGACGAAAGAAAGTAATTCATGTATTCAGTTGTCCGATGGGTTGTTTTCATACCAATTATCACATTCAGCAGGGGTGTACGATTTCACTGGTTGATTTGGAAAGTTTTCATTAGCCCCAACATGAACATTGTAGATAATTATAAGGCATCACGATTTAGTTAAGCAGCGTTCATTTTGCTTTCGATCAAAGGAGTTTAGTTTCAGCAATGTAACATAGAATAAGTAGTAGAAAAATCAAACAACCAATCCTGCAATGATTCTGATCTGCAGTTATTATTTATAGGATATTTTGTTGTAGGGTTTCAGTTCATTAGATACATTGATAAAGATGTCTGGACCTCGGTTTCCATGGAGAGGAGGAGGAGGAATGAATGGTAACCCCTGGGGAATGGGTCAGTTTTCTCCACCACCTCCACCGGGGCCGCGCCCTCCAATGATGCGTGGACAAGGGCCCAACAACTGGCGGAGCCCTAACAGCAGGCCCATCATTCGCTATGATATGGGACCATTTGATATGGCACCTAGAGGTATGAGACCAGGATTCTTCCCCAATTCAGCACCTCATATGATGAACATGTCAGGCTGCAGACCTCCAAACCCTGAAAGATTTAAGCAAGGTCACATACAGAAAGCTCAAGGTCAGGATGGTGATCAAGAAATGAAATCACTTGGACAGTCACATCAGACACAAAATTTTGGAAGAAATATGGCTAATGGGCCAAGCAATAATTTTAGAGGAAATTTTCAAAATGGTGAAAATTACAATGGAAAAAGATTTCCTGGAAATGGGACTTTTAACCAGCAAAACACTGGTAGTGGACAAAGTGGTGACCATCTGAAAAACAAACAGTTCCAAGGAAATTGGAATCAAAACAAAAAGGTATGATTCACAATGAAGCAACAGAAAACACTGGATAAAGTCTGTATACATGTATAATCAATCAATGGGAGGTTTAATTAACATGATATATCTTATACTAGGGCTGAAAATACCTGACCTCACTGGGGTCAGTAGATTTGATATTTTCATTGTGCTATCTAATTTACCAACAAAACTGTTCAATAATTTCTTTCATTTCACAAATTGTCAACATTCGAAAATTCCATAATATTCCAAATTGTAATTATTTTGACCCAAGGGCCATTTCCAAAACAATATTAAACGAGATTAATCCTGATCAATATTATTGACATATACTGCCTGTACATATCTACACATACTATCTATTCCTACATTCAGGTTCGCTGTATGTAGGAATCATCTTATTTGTATATTACATCTGAAGTTTGTTTTTTATTTTCTGTTTCAGCCGAAAAAGCAGAAGATTGACAAGAGAGAACTGCCGGAAAACAATAAATTTTCCTGTGATATTTGTGAGAGAGGCTTCAAAACAGAAGAAAAATATAAGGAACACGTAGATGGTCATACAAAAGTAATATATTTACTATAACTCACATTTCAGTGTCACATTGGCACAGTATTGATTGATAATTAGGTCAGATTGGCACAGTATTAATTGATAATTAGGTCAAATTGGCACCGTATTGATTGATAATTAGGTCAGATTAGCACAGTATTGATAAATAGGTCAGATTGGCACAGTATTGATTGATAATTAGGTCAGATTGGCACAGTATTGATGGATAATTAGGTCAGATTGGCACAGTATTGATAGATAATTAGGTCAGATTGGCACAGTATTGATTGATAATTAGGTCAGATTGGCACAGTATTAATAGATAATTACGTCAAATTGGCACAGTATTGATTGATAATTAGGTCAGATTGGCACAGTATTGATTGATAATTAGGTCAGATTGGCACAGTATTGATTGATAATTAGGTCAGATTGGCACAGTATTGATTGATAATTAGGTCAGATTGGCACAGTATTAATAGATAATTAGGTCAGATTGGCACAGTATTGATTGATAACTAGGTCAGATTGGCACAGTGTTGATTGATAATTAGGTGCTTGGGTTATGATGAAAACATGTTCAGTTCATGAATGCATTAAATTTTAATCATATAGACATACACGGACATATTATTGTAATCACTTGTGTTATGCTCAGCACAGACACGGTACAGTAACATTTTAGTTGCAATTATGTATGAAGCTAAGATACTTGGCATATTTATGGCAATATATAATTTGAAAATCACATATCACGTGGCACAAACGTTTCAGTCAGTCTCTTGTGTTATCGATGTATCATAATGAAAAAGCTATTGATTACCTGTGTCCATCATAAACAGAATGATCTGTTGGTTCTTCAGGTTAACTCAGGATATGAGAAAACAATACATGTTACAAAATTAAGATTAAGTATCATCCCTGGTGAGTGGAAACAAGAACACATTAATAGAATATATTAAAATATTTTATTTGTAGACATTTTCCTATATAGGAACACGGGCACCCATTATCAAACCAAGGTTCCTTTGTTAACTGCATGGCCCTTACTTGGATATAACAGACTGCCCTGTAAACAAATGTTGTAATGTAATAAGAATTGTTCACATATAGTTCTGCTTTTTCCAGTGTACATATGAAGATTGTTCCTATGTAGCTGCCCCAAAACTGGTACAACTTCACATCAGAATGGTAAATACAGTTCAATTTTATTACTCAATTTTGTGAATTTTACATACGTTTTCAGTCTAACTTTTCTTAATTGAAGTGGAGTGTAGAATTACATGTACAAGTTTTAAATTTGACGTTAAATATTTTTAAAATTTTGCTGAGGTCAATACATCAATTGATTTTTTTTTTAAATAATGTGAGTGAGAACGCAGTTGAAGAGTCACTTACAATGGACTTGTATAGATGGTAGTGTCTAGTGTAATTGTTAAAATTTATTTAGTGTCCATGAGCCTCAGGACAAGAAATAATTGTTGGTTTTGCTCCATATATTTACTTTAATATGTCCCTTTTATGTTTTTGAGCTCACCTGGTCCAAAGGACCATGGTGAGCTTATGCCATACTGCAGTGTCCTTTGTCTGTACATCAACTTTTCCTTTAAAACGCTACTACTGTAGGGATAAAGGGATTTTACCCTAACTTAGTATGGAGCATCCTTTGGCCAAGGGGACTCAATTTTGTATAAACGGATGGTTTGGCCCCCCTGGGGGCAGAGGGTGAAGCTGAATAGGGGAAATTGAGGTAAAACATTTAAAATCCTTCTACATAGGGATTAAGGGACTTTATCCTAATTTGGTCTGGAGCATCCTTTGGCCAAGGGGATTCAATTTTGTATAAACTGTGGGTGTTTCTCCTTTTGGGTGCAGAGGGGCAGGGATCAAAAGGAGAATTGGAAGGTTAAATCTTTAAAATCCTTCTTCTTCTGTACCATTGGAGGGATTTTATCTAAATTTGGCCTGGGGCATCCTTGGGCAAAAAGGGGAATTTGAGGTTTAAGTCTTCAAAATCTTTTTCCTCTGAATCATTGGAGAGATTTCATACAAATTTGGCCTGGAGCATCCTTGGGCAAAGGGACTAAATTTTGTATAAAAGGAGGGCCCTGTGGGCAGAGGGGTGGGGTCGAATAGGGACAATAGAAGTAAACCTTTCAAATCCTTCTTATGCCATAGGGATTGAGGGATTTCATCAAATTTTGGTCTGGAGCTAAACAGTGGGTGTTGCCCAAGTTTTGTATAAACAGTGGGTGTTGCCCACCTGGGGGCAGAGTCCAATAGGGGAAATAGAGGTTAAACCTTTAAAATCCTTTTTCTACCATAGGGATTAAGGGATTTTATCTTAATTTAGTCTGGAGCATCCTAGGGCCGAGGGGATTCAATTTTTTATAAACTGTGGGTGTGGCCCCCCTGGGGGCAGGGGGATGGGGCCCAATAGGGAAAATAGAGGTAAACATTTAAAATCCTTCTACCATAGAGAATAAGGGATTTCATCCCAATTTAGTCAGGAGCATCCTTGGGCCAAGGGGACTCAATTTTGTATAAACAGTGAGTTTGGACCCAATGAAAGCAGATGGGCGGGCCCAATAGGGGAAATACAGTTAAACACTTTGAAATTCTTTTTCTACCATAGGGATAAAGGGATTTTATCCTACTTTGGTCTGGAGCATCCTGGGTCAAGATGATTCAATTATGTATAAAGGGTGGGTGTGGCCCCTTTGAGGTTTAAATCTTTCCCCTTCTCTACTATGGAGGGATTTTATCCAAACTTGCCCTAGATATCTTTTGTCAAAGGAGACTAAATTTTGTATAAACGGAGGGTGTGGCCCCTCTAGGTGCAAAGTTGTGTGGCCCAATAGGGGAATTTGAGGTTTAAATCTTTAAAATCCCTCTTCTGTTCTATTGGAGGAATTTTATGTAAAAAGAATGATTTCCGATGGTTGCTTTATTATCAAGCTGAGAGATTCTGGGCCTCTTGTTTATGTGGAAGCAGGGAACTAATTAGCCTGTAGCATACAGTGCTGAAGCATTAATTAGCCTGTAGTATACAGTGCTAGTCATTTCTAAAATTGCTAAAAGAACACTTATTTTCTAGTTTCTATGCCTGAATGCGTCAATAATAAGCCAAGCTAACATGATTGTTAGTCCCCCACCGGGAACCGGAGGGGACTATAGTTTTGCGTTGTATCCGTCCTTCCTTCCATCCTTCTGTCATTCCTTTCGCTATCTTGTACGGGCTCTATCTCCTACACTACTTGTCACTGGAACTTCATACTTGGGGTATGGTATCACCTTGGTGAGGTGATGTATCATGTATCAAAAGTAGGTCACTCTGACCTACATTTTGACCTTTGACCTACATCAAAGACAAAGTTTGTCCAGGCTCTATCTCCTATACTACTAGTCACTGGAACTTCATACTTGGTGTATGGGTTAACCATGGTGAGGTGGGTTGTCATGTATCAAAAGTAGGTCATTTTGACCTTTGACCTACGTCAAAGAAAAAGTTTGTCCGGGCTCTATCCCTACACTACTAGTCACTGGAACTTTATACTTGGAGTATGGGTTCATCTTGGTGAGGTGATGTGTCGTATATCAAAGTAGGTTACTCTGTTTTTGACCAGGTCACTGACACTATTCCTTATCGAATATGGTGGATCTGTCAAACATTCATATATAGAATTTGTTCCTGCACGAATTTATCAGTTCCTGCACAAATTTATCATCTGTGCATTTCACATTTGATGGGGGGACTATAATTCGCCGAATTGTCTTGTTTTAATTGTGATGTGGTCATATTAAATTTACATGTCTATGATGAAAATGATAATTTAATTTATGAACATTAATTATTTTTTTAAGCAACACTACTCTGGTCTTGCAAAGAAAATTTGGACACTGGATTCAAAAGAAGATATTGAAAAGTGGCGTGCTGAACGAAAGAAGTAGGTATACATTGATGTGTAATTCAAATAAAAATATAATTAGCTATCCTTGTGTGGATCAGAAAAACAGTAACATCTACATCATGTCTGCTGTTTCACATGTAGTATTTGATATAAAAGCATGTTGCTTCATGATTAATGCCTTTTTGAGTGTAAGCAATAGATCTAGAATTTGACATGAGGTTGGATATCAATGCAGATGAGCATCTAGATGATGATTCATATCTTGGTATATCTCTTTATCTCATCCAATCAGTGTAGAACTAGACTCTACTGTCCTGGCCATTTGTATAAGCTGATTGACCATACCAAGTTTTGGTAAATATTAATGCGAGCATTGAAAGTCTTTGCCAAGGCCATCCAGATAACAGAGTCCGAGCATTAAATCTGTATCAAACAGGTATGGTCCTACAAGTCCAGCGACATGAACCATTTACCGTACTATATGTAGGCGAACAGAAGTCAATGAAGTAACTATTAAATGTTGTTAATATGTGATAAATGAACATAGTTGCCTGAACAACAATCTGTAACCTGTTCTTTTTTGCAGACATTTTCCTACTGCAGAAAATATAGCAAAGAGGAGAGTTCAGTCTGCTGAAATGAAAGCCAGAGGGGAAGTCCTGGAAACAAAACAGTTCGGGTACACACATTTATCATTTTATTCTCTGTTTTGCATCGCCTATGTTTATACACATGTCTTTGATGCAGCAGATACATATACAGTAATAATATAAACTTAACTACAACCGGTACATTAATCTTTCTTGTTGGCCCGGATGTTAGCACAAAGAGGTCTTTCAGTATCAGCAACAACCTGTCCAACTGTCTGTCAGTGGTTTGTTCTCTGGTTCCTTATCTCTTAGCATCAATATCTCACGGACAGGTCAAGGCCAAGGTCATATGTTCAAGGTCAAAGACACAATATCTGTGTGTCAACATTTGGCTTGTCCTCAAATATAAATTTGCCTTTCACATTTGATTACTATGTATATTATGTTGCTTACAAAAGTTCGCTGTAATGATAAATCAGGCCTCATTACATGGAGGGCACTAATTAAACTGCTGGGAAAATTTCCCTGTATACAGTATATATAGTATAATACGATGCTGATATAGTTTCTTTTTCAATTCATCAGCAAAATGAAGGGACAAAATAGAAACCAGGGACAACAGAAAAACAGACAGAACAGGAGGAAGAGAAGGGGTCAAAGGTCAGGAGACAGCAATGAGGAGGATGCAAAGAAGGCCAGAGTGGACACTGATGTTAGTGAGGTAAGAATTTCCCTGAAATACCTCTCATCACAAAGCCTAGAATTGATCCTCCTTTTACACCTGTCACAATCTCCTTGGGTAGTAGGTTCTATCTTGTCATCAACACCTATTACTATATAACACATTCTTTTTCCTGTATTATATAACTACCTAAAGGTAAGACATTCTATTTCTGTGTTCCGTTACATGTAGAGGAAATAAGTTCTACTGTATAATAGGATACATGTGCTCAGTCAAACTTTCACCATTCGCCTGTTAACGGTGATTTTTGGGTCATATGGATTTTTCATTCTTTTCCAGTGGGACTCACCCACTCTTTGAGAACCAACTTTATCACTTTGTGATGGGACAGAATTTTCCAAATGATGTTTTAGGACTCGCTTGAACAAATTCTAAAATACATGGCTGTAAAATCTATATACTCCCATATGTTGTTTACTAATATTCACTGTAATAATAAGTTTGCCTTAATTCAAATTTAAGACAAAAGGTTTACTATCTGTACGAAACAAATTCTTGGTATAGAGTGTTTCTCTTGTCTGACAGACTGAAACCTGCACGTTGGAATTATTGAGTGTCTAGTGACCAGCTTCTGTGGTATAGTTACGTGTTTAACCTCTCCTGTCACAAACATGAATTGAAATTATTTTCGGATTATCCTGTCAACAGATGTTTGGGAATGATAGATTGATAGTAGTGATGCACTGTTCCAGCACTAATATATTTGATATAAATACTCATTAAGGGCTTTTTCATGTAGGAATATTAAGATGGTCGGGTAACAAATTAGTGTAGGGAAAAATAGGTGAGGAAGATTGGGTAGCTGTCCGAACATCACCCCCTTCTACACACACATACATGTATTTCTGGAATAAACTAAATACTCAGGGGTGACATGTTCAGTGCCATTGACCTATATATATATGAATTTATGACCAGGTCAAGAATTCAACAGGAGTGGAATTGGAGAAACCTGACATTGTTCCTCCAGCTACAGGCGACCCTCTGTCTGTTCTGCTCACAGACGCCGAATCAGGTAAGGCTTTCCTTGTAGACTCCAGAACAAGTAAAACCTAAATATCACGGGAAACTTTACACCCACAACATTAAACAACTAGACTGTAGTTCTGTATTTGGTTTAATATTGTTATTGAAAGATAGATCTAAGATTTTTTTATGTCGTATTTCTTTTTATTTTGGTTTCTTCTCTGTTTCTGATGTAGTAATGCTACAAAGACTTTAGCTCACCGCCAAAGGGTGGGGCCAAAAAGGGGAAATAGAGGAAAAAAATAAAATTCCATCCTCTCTTGTACCAATGAAGGGATTTTAACCAAACTTATTCTAGGGCATATTTAGGCAAAGGGGTCAATTCTGTATAACTAAAAGATGTGGCCCCACTGTGGGCAGAGGGGTAGGGCTGAATAAGGGAAATAGAGGAAAGTGTTTAATAGCCGTTCACTTTTGTACCAATGCAGGGATTTTAACCAAACTTGTTCTTGAGCATCTTTGAGCAGAGGGTATTCAATTTTGCATTTAAACAGGATGTTTAATAGGGGCTCAATAGGGGAAATGGAGGAAAATCTTTCTCCTTCAGTACAAATGAAGGGACTTAAACCAAATGTGGTCTGGAGCATCTTAAGGATAAGCGGACTTCGGGATGGGGCCCACTAGGGGAAATGGAGGGTAAATATTACAAAAGAAAGAAGGAATAAATTACCATGTGACAAAAATATTGACTTCAGGTTTAAATGGGTTATTGAAAGTTTGTAGCAACAAAGAAATCACCATCTCTTAAAGTTGAACTTTTTTTATTTTTTGTCTTAGATTGTGATAATGAGGAGATGACTCGTGTAGCAAAGCCTGTAGGGGACGTTGCAGATGGGGAGACAGAAAGCGGACTCCAGGGAGGGCTTGGAATGATCCTGTCCTCCTACAGCGCAGACACTGGTAAGGATCATGTTAATCCCCTTCAACTCAATTAGCAACTGAGATAAATAAGATTCAGACCTTTATAAACAATCTTTAGACTTTTTGAAATAAAATTATCAGGGTGAAACATGCTCGCAAAAGCCAGGGTTTCATGAGGATGGATGTTCAGAAATACATATGTATATTAAGGTAAATGTGAACAAACTGTATATCAAGATTTGTTTCCAAGTAGATTTATATTTCACCAAGTAGGACCACTTTAATGTGTTTTCTGTTTTTTTCAGTTCTGGATAGTACATGTGATAAAAACACTACCAGCGAACAAAGTCCAAAACAAAATAAGAAAAGGGGAGATAATTCACGGAAAAACAACCGTCGGAACAATCAAACAAAAGCTGGAAAGAACAAATGGAAAAACAACAAATTATTTAATAATACAAAATCATCTTTATTGGAAAAGGTAAGCTGGTTAAATTTTATTGCCTAGATTCCCCTCTCAATGTTTGCAATAGAATGCTTTTTTACACTGAAAAGCTCCTGTAATGATTTACAAGATATGCAATTGTGTTGAGGTCGGCTCACGATAAAGAAAGAAAAACCCAAACCCTCAGGGTAAGATTCTTAAAAGTCTTGTCTTCAACAAAGCCTCCGGCTATACATTTAAAAATCTTATCTCTTCGGTGTAGATTTTTCTGGCATATCCCCGAAGTGGGGAAAGATTATATTAATCCTTTATGTTTTCTGTTTTTTTCAGCTGTTGTCCAAAGAAATTCGGCATGAAAGAAACGTGATTCTGCAGTGTGTTTATTACATTGTAAAAAACAATTTTTTGGAAACTGGACAATCCACCTCGTCCAGATCCATCAGAGACAGTTGGAAAGACAGACGTGGTAATGTCACCCCAAGTGTAGGCTCCTTCATAGATGATGATGCCTGTATGTGAGGGAGCGGACTAGATATTCTGAACCCTCTATGAGTATGCACATTGGACATGTGGATCTGTAAAAATAAGGAATTAATCAAATCCTCAACTGTTTGGGTCTTCCTCGTAATTACATAGGAAATATGTATGTATTTAACTTTGTGATACTGTGGCAGCCTGTTGTCTGTGTACAGGGGTACTGCTGAAAGTATTTTATCTGTATGCCAGGTGCCAGGTATTTCCCGGTCATATATCTACATGATCATGTGACTTGCATACATCTGTATTTGTATAAAGCAGATATATGTACCCATTTTTGTCATAATAACATGAATAGTTATTCTAATTAATTCTGTGCCAAGAAATGTAAATCCCAGTCAGCAGTGTCTGTTCCTGAATATGCGATATTATGCCTATTGTGTATTATTTTGTCAGAAACATGCAAATACATGTTTAAATGTAAAGCAAGTGCAAATTTTGTACAAAATGGTCAGCAGGTACCCTGAGCTTAATTGATATGTATAGAGTCATTTTGATTGTTAAATGTTCTGTAACATTCAGATATTCAGTGATAGATTCATAAGGTAGTTAATTGTCGTTTAAATATGAAAATATCGCAAACGTATCGTTATTTTAACTAATTTCAAGACATTACTGAGATCCGACACACAATTATAAGCATTGAACTGTTTTCATTTGGCAGTCATAGTCAATATGAATGTCACAAATTCCATTAAGCCTGCAAGTGCTTCACGTTGGATGTGACATTCTAGTTTGCATTCAGAAGGTCTATGAATGCCAACACTTTGCTGTTCAATACTTTTACCATTTTACACTATTTTAATCTCAAGGAAATTTTAAATCATTTATATAAAAAAAAACAGCATTTACTTCAAATAGATTATTTATTGTGTAATAAATAGAAAAGTTATTTTCAACATATCAAACATTACAATTTCGCAGAAGGTAACAATCACAACAAACAGCATGAGGATAGGTTGCTTCAATTTATTAGGTATCTGTCGACCGGTTTCGCCCTTTGGCGGGCTTCTTCAGGACAAAATACAAATTTTCCTAAAGTACTAAAAATACGGGCGCTCTATTCTATTAATAACATGTTTGGCATTATGACGTCACGCCCCGGACGTTTTAAACAAATGAGGTAACTCTTACGCATTTCTAAGCTCTTATCAAGTATTCTCATATTTATCCATGTCCATGTCACCTCGGTAAATCCTTCATGGTTAGTGCTAAATTCTTTTATACACATCTGCATCTACATATTGTTCTGTTTCTGCTTATTGCTTATTCTAGTACGTCTAGACATAGTGTCTCCCTGGATTCCGATACATAATTGTATAATTTATAGTTCCTCATCATTTCTTCCCCTCCATGTTCCAAAGTATTGGATGTAGACACCAACGACTCAATTCTGAGCAAAGACCGGTCGGGACTTCTCAGCGGGTCCACCACTGATTACCTGCCGCCCCAGGATGATCCGAAATTTCACTAGGTCTAGTTGTTTCTTAGTTAATAATTTGAATGGTCTTTTCTTCCTTGGAGGTGGCTTTATCACTCCGGGTTCAATCCTATAGATTGGGTGTTCCTTTCCTTGATGTTTCCTATAGTCTTCCATCCTCCTGTATGACCATGCCATGTCTTTATGGCTGAATGTGCAGTGTTAGCGTGCCTACGAAAGTTCCCAATGTTTGGGTACGTTCTACCACAGCGTATACAAGGTATGCATCTCATAGTACCCTGTTTGCGCGGTGTGTTTTTAGTCTTCGGCATACTATGTGATTATGTTCAATCCCTCTGGTTGTTGAGTACGTAGTAATCTGATTAAACTCTCCTCCAGATGTTGTGATTGTTACCTTCTACTGATTTGCTGTACTGGTCAATCACCCTGCAGACTTCCGGGTATCCAGCTGAAGGACAAAGGACCCTCGGATCCACCTAAGTAACACAAACAGCGTAATAATGATGATGGTAACACAAAAATGTCACCCCAACTCTATATGGTTATATAGTGGCAGTGGCTATGTTAATAGGAATTATTCTGTCACGATTTGTTGCACTTTCACATTTTATTCTGATAGGGTTTCTGCAGATTAACACATATTATGACTGTGTCATATTGTTGTTTAAGTTATATGTCTCCATGACTTTTGACAGTAACTGTTACATACATCATTTCTTTGAAATCATGGAGTGTTTTACATGTCTGCTCTCATTGACAATGACACTACAAAACGAATCTCCGATACAAAGGTTTTACTACAGTTTTGAACGGTGATAACATTTCGACTGAGGACTGGTGAGTTAAGAGTTTCATTGAGCAATATTTAAAGGTTATAGGTGTAAGACACATTTTAAAATGATTCCTTTGACAGCTGTTATAGTCAATGGTGCTAAAAGTTCTTTCTCCATATAGCTAAGGTAAAATTGCTCTTTCAAAACTCATAAAACTTGGCAAAATTACAATTTGTTTTATTATTATGACCTTTTTTAAAGAAACAAATAAACAAACGATTATTGTTTCATGTTTTTGCATGCTAAATTGGATGTTGCAGCATAAATTGGCAACTTTACATATTTTTTCTTTTAAATTAGGGTTGGATCAGCAATATTATATATCCCAAGCTGAATGAAGCCAAACTAATATGCTTTGCCAAGATCAACGTTAAAGAACCAACCTCTAAATGCCTATAGTTCCTAGTAGTACCATTAGCTCTGAAAGGATTGCTTTGATTTTAAAACATATTGTCATAACATTGATGGAATTAAACCATTGCTGTTACAGTATATCTAGTAGAAGATGCCTGTTGTAATATGAAAATACCCTATATTCATTATAGAATGTTGAAACATATATGTTATTTGTTAAAAACATTTTCGTAATAAAGTGTTGGGGGGGAAAACAAAGACTCCTTTTACTTGTGCCTACAATAATAATCAAGGGCTTATCTCATTACTGTATGGTGGGACATTTTTGTCTTTTTCACTCGCACTAATGAGGGCAAATTCACCATTACAGTGAACATCAGGAAACAACAGACTTAACATAGTAATTAAATGCCATGGCCGAAATCAATGCTGGGCAAATATGAGTTTTACTGGTGAAGGGCGAAAGTTTGACCTGGCCAAAAATTTCCTGTATAGTCTAGTCAAGTTTTATTATGAACAAGACTGCAACAAATTGCCAATACCTCCAACTACTAAATACATGTTTTGGACTCAATGCATAGACATGTAGGTAGTTCCGATCATAACCCACTTACATGATACTCTGCCTTCCCAAGATGTACAGCACACCAAGTTTGACGATCACAGGTGAATAATGCCGGAGATATGATCTGGATAAGCACTGTCTTACATAATTTGCACAGAATGAACACCAAAACAAGCCATGTCGCACATATACACTACTGCGACAAGGTACAACATCTTTTCCTACAATCTTCAGCTGGATCATTCTCCTATTTCTGAATTTAAAAGTTTATATTTCAAGCCATTATTTATTTATTTATTTACCAATTATTTTGACTTCATAATTTGTATCTGACTGATGAAACTTTGATAATTTCCAAAACAATGAAATACTCCTGGATGGTGATTTTGGCAATATCATGAGAGCTGAGATATCTAATTTCCAAGGCTGGTATATATAAGACCATTGTAACTACATGTATTTATATATTTATATATGTAGGGCTGGGGCGATAAAGTGTAACCTTTACTCCAACAATGAATATATCCATATGCAATGAAACCTGTCACATACAACATCCTATTGGAAACATAAATTGGTCAGATTAGACAGGGTCTCATAATAAACAGGTCTTATTTGGAAGTTTCCATTACAAATGGGATAACCCAGTACAACTTATGATTCATAAAATATACCTAGTAGATCTTCTTTATTCATATCTAATTAAAACAAACAAAAATTCCATCAAAAACACAGAATGGAGAAATTAAAAAAAAATGTTAAACTGATTTGACGTTAAAACAGACTCCTAAAATGCTGCCCAGTGCCTAAAATCAAAGTTTGTGATGTCTGATTGGTATAACGATGATCCATAAAAAATATTCTGCATCAAAATTAAGATATGTACCGTATGTACCGACGTAGTCAAATCCAGTTATATGAAGCATGATTACAAAAATTCAGTTGATTCAATGTCAAATGCTTACAGGATATAAAAGTTTTACTGCAGTGTTGGTAGCTTAACTACTTACTGGTGAAATTAATTAGATCAAACATAGAAAACTGGATGAGGCATATAATACATAGTGTATTGCACTGGACACAGAAATAAAGAAAGCAAGGAGTTGGCACTCAATAATAATTAACATCCAGCAACAACCTGCTCACAGAAACCGCAATAGTTGAGAAATGTATAAGGCTATAACTGTAATGGACAGTACATGTACTGGTATTGACCATGCTCGGTTTAAAACACAAGTCTTTAATGATTTTATATCATTTTCACGGAACTACCCAGACATCTATTGAAAACAGAAATCTGATAAAGTTTGAATTTTGTTTTAATATTTTATATCTTCTCATCTTTTGGAGATAAATTCTATTGAAATATTTCATATCTTTTCCAAAGAACTATTTTCATTTCTTAAACAAAACTTTACAATGAAGTGGCGGCTGCCATTGCTGTCTCTAAACTATAAATTATCACTCATCACAAATCATGTTACATTCGTTTTTAATCTGCACACTTGGTCATGTTTGTCAGCTATGTGTTCAATACAGAATTGACAAAAGGGCTGATACTCTCGCTGAAGTTAGTATGAAAGTGTACATTTTGTATGACTTGTGCGGAGCCAAGAGAGGATGACCCTCCTTCTGCACGTCCCCTCTTATAGCTGGGCGTGAACCCGGTGGCTTGAATTGCATTCAGTTTATTTTTATATTTCTGACCACCTATGTAACCAGTTAGATTTTTAAGCAAATAAAAAGCATAAATAATAAAACTGAAAAGAATAGATGATATTATTCAAACACATTAATATACAGTTAAATAAAAAGGCATTCCCCCCCCCCCAGTGAGTAAAATTCAAGATTCAATCAAGTATGTTGTAGCACGGTAATACAAATCATTGCTAAGCATTCTCGAAGCACTTTGACATACATACATTCTAGGTTTTATAATACATGACAATTACAAACGCAGGTATATATTTCAATATACATACATTGGGATGCAAATGGTAGTTATCACAGCAAAGAAACTTAATGTAAATCACAGTCTTGTTTCTACCTCAGAAATTACCAGAAACTGCTGTTCTTTCACCGAAGGTCATATCAGGACAACAAATTTTCAGTACAAAAAAGTGTTTTTCTGTTTCCGTCCAAACATCATCATTTTGAATTCTAGACCAAGCAAATCCTTTTTCTTCAAACAATCAAGAAATGATCAAATTCAAATTTCCCCATACTGCAAAACTTAACCTATTTCAAAACAAAATGGAGAAACAACTGTAAGAAACTGTTTTAATTTATCTCTCTATGGAATGGTCAAATTGTTTTGAAAGCTTCGTGAGCAAATTTCAGCATGGCAACCGAAAACCATTTGTGTTAATAGCAATGAATCCCCAACCTAGATACAATATGGTTTTGTAGTGTAGGTATTGAGGCATCTCATAAGTAAGAACCATTCAACTACAGTGAAATCGCTCTCACTCGACGCTGCAGGACACAACATACTGGCCCGATATTATTTAGGAATATATAGGTTGTATAAGGTTATTAACTAAGGCAGAGGATTACAGCATTTTGTCAGATTGGACAGTGTGTCGAGGATACTTGATCAGGTTAGACAGGTATCACTATTTATGTTGTGCAACCTCTCACCCTATAAAACTAGGTCACATATCCTTTCTCACTATACAAAACTAGGTATATATTCGTCTCCTTTTTTAACAAAAAAGTCCCCTTGTCAAAATGTTCTGATACATTGTTTATGGAAAAGTGATTTTGGTAAGCAAAGATTGTGTCGTTTTGAAGTTTTACTTTATGCACAAACAATGTATGTATGAAACGTGTCGCAACATTTCAAGACCGACTACTAGTCCTTGTGTCAAGCTTGACATACATTGATTGTGTATCAAGTAAATTTTGATATTTCATGTTTCCAAACTGATGCATCTTATTGAAGATATAAAACTTTTGTGTTGCTTTATCTTAACATCAAATAAACCACAGTTTTCATTCACTTCCAAAATGCAGACTAACAACAAATGAGTATTTTAAATCACACAGAATCTATGACTTGCTCTCACCTTGCTGTAAAAACCTAAGGTTACATAGAAAGAGTGGAAAACAAATTTTCTCTTATATTATAAATGGGTGTATAATTACTCTCATGGAAAATTACAATCTTGGCCATTTTCCAAATGGTTGTAATTGGCAAGTACAATTAACAATCAATTCTCAGGTTGACCAACTGAAAGTCTGTGACAAAACCATACCCATCTTTTCCTATAATTTAAACAACTGCAGTCTAGTCACATGAAATAGCTTCTAATCTCACAGCTAGATAACATCTTATGATAACACTTTGAAAATTTAGTAAAATATTTACACATTAAAAAAAAATCAGTTTTCCACAACACAAGGTATGTGTGCTTTATGGGAAATTTCTTCTAAACCCAATAGACGGAGAATAGCCTCGACTAGCACACACTTTAATGAAACATAATTTACACAAGTACAGTTTTATACAAACGGTTAATTATCTACAAGAGGTCCAATAGGCCTGAATTGCTCACCTGGTACTAATCTCACATCAGTAACCTCCAAAGTGGACCAAGGGTTAACATATGAAAATAGGCTTAATTAAGCAACAGGCCGAATATCACCATCTTTGGCCTTTTGGTTATTAAGAGATTTATTTTTAAACAGTTGATCCATATGACCTTGAAAGTTGGTTAAGGATCTTTACTTGAACAAACTTTGTAGCCCTCCAACCATGCATACTACTGGCCAGATACCATCACCCATGGTCTTTCAGTTGTTCAAATATTTCAATATATTTGACCCCTGTGATCTTGAAAAGGGTGCAGATCATTCATTTGACCTTGAAAATGGGTCAAGGTATTCATTTGACCAAACTTGGTACCATTTAGTCATTCATTCTAGCATACTATTGGCCAAATATCATCACCCTGGGCCTATTGGTTATGAGAACAAGTGGTTTAAAGAAAAAAGTTAACGCCAGCAGACGACAGACTCTGTGCTATATCATAAGCTCACTTGGCCCTTAGGGCCAGGTAAGTAAATAATTCAAGAAGCAACAGCAATGTCCCCTGCCTGGTTCTGATCACAGCTGCCTTGTGAAGTATTTGGTCCATTATCATGGTTGTTTTGTGGGAGAGGACCAATGAAGACTTGGTCTGCCGGGGTGACTGGCACCATTAGGCTTTCAATTTTGTGGCGAGTAAGAAACTCTTGGAAATCAAACTGCACCTCTGTCCCTGCAATAACAAACACATTATGTGGAATTAGTTTCCCCAACTTCGTTTGTTCAGTCTAAATGCCATCATAATAAACAACATGCCTGTAGGTAATATATGAAAAGGCTGCCTTCAAAATGTAACAAGAACCATATTGCTAATTCAGTTTTGTTTTTCAATGCAATGGTTCCGTCAGATGGAACCTTTTGGCAAATACATATGTATTTAATTGGTGTATGCATACTTTAAGTTTCCCACATTAATATTATAAAAGAAGATTCTGTGGAAACGTATCTATTCTGACTTAGTTGAGATTCTCCGATTACACTAGGTTATGGTATAACAGACAAATAAACTCTCACCCTGCCGCTGGTAGAAGAGGATGTAAGCATTGCTGAAGTCGCTAGAGTTGGGTTCCTGCTGTGTGATGGTCTCGTCATTGTAGTAATGCCACGCATGATCTTGTGGGTGCTGAGCATATGCAGTGTAGTGTCCCGCATTGGCTCCTGTAATCATCAAATAAACATGTAAATTGATGACTCCTTGACAAACCTGTTTATCTCCTATGTGTTGGAAACTGTTTTTTTCTGCATGACTATTGCTTTGATAAATAAATTTCTGGAAAGAAAACCATACCTTTAAGGAATTCTATGAGAAATAATAGATATCAAACAAGAGGCCCAGGGGGCCTGCATCGCTCACCTGGATATCTAAGCAATAATGGCAAAATATTCTCCTTATAAAATCCAAGGGAATGGGCCAGACCCAGGACCCTAAGGCCAAACCTTGTAACAATCTGTATTAGATTGTTCATGCCAAGCAAGTTTATGTATGGTTATGGGGTGGGGATCTCAACTGTTTCCAAGCTGTGACTAAGAAACTAGGTCCCTAGGGTTGTGGCCAGACCCCAGGGTCAATTCTAATATCATGACAGCATTTATCTCTTTATGCCCAGCACTTGTATATAGTTTTGGGGTAGGGATCTCAACCATTTCAAAGTTATGACCCAGGGGTTAAGTTTGCAAGGGTGGGGCAGATCCCGGGATGACAGCATTTGTCTCTTTATGTCCAACAATTGTATATCTAGTTTTGGGGTGGGGATCTCAACCGTTCCAAAGTTATGACCCAGTGACCCAGGGGTTAAGTTTGCAAGGGTGGGGCAGATCCCTGGGTCAATTCTAATATCATGACAGCATTTGTTTCTTCATGTCCAACAATTGTATATATAGTTTTGGGGTGGGGATCTCAGCCGTTTCAAAGTTATGACCCAGGGGTTAAGTCTCCAAGGGTGGAGCCAGACCCTGGCGCTGTCCTGGAAGCATATGTGCATTCTTCTCTTAAAACTCAGCAATTGTATATATGGTTATAGGGTGGAAAACTCAATCATTTCCAAGTAATAAACTATTAACCACTTTTTGTATAATTTTGAATCCCCACTACCTAGGGATGCTTTTGGTCAAATATGGTTGATATCCATCTCTTGGTTCCACAAAAGAAGTCCCTTAAAACAATAGAGCCAAATTGCTCCCTTTTGGCCCTGTCCTTCAGCCCCCTGGGGGGTCATCCCCACCATTTGTACAATTTTGAATCCCCACTACCTAAGGATGCTTCCAGTCAAATATGGTTGATGTCAATCTTAGTTCCAGAGAAGAAGTTGCTTAAAACAATATAGCCAAATTGCCCCCTTTTGGCCCCGCCCCCTCAGTCCCCTTGGGGTTCAGACCCACCATTTGTACAATTTTGAATCCCCACTACATAGGGATGCTTCCAGTCAAATATGGTTGATATCCATCTTTTAGTTCCAGTTGCTTAAAGCAATATAGCCAAAATGCCCCCTTTTTGCCCTGCTTCAGCCCCACCATTTGTACAATTTTGAATCCCCACCACCTAGGGATGCTTCCAGTCAAATCTAGTTAAATTCCAATCAGTGGTTAAGAAGAAGAAGTCGTTTAAAGAAATTGTTGACGGTTGGACGGACGGACGACGATGGACGGACGAACGGACGACGGACGCCACGGTATGGCATAAGCTCACCTTGGTCCTTCTGACCCGGTGAGCTAAAAATAATCAGGGAAGCTCAATTTTATTTTGAAAGAAAAAATAAGCAACAGCCACTCACAATGGGACCTTTATCAATCTGATTGATAAAAGTGGATCTTGGAAAGAAAAAAAATTATATAATATATTTTAAATACCTTCTAAAGATTAAAAAACAAAATACAGCACATTTTTGATTATTATACTTATATATAATAGGACAATGGCTATTGATTACATACCTCCGAAATGACAGACAATCCCGTACAAGTCGTACAGCGGACACTTGGTGTCTGGCCCAGAGATCATCTGGGTTAAGTCTAGGCCCTCCAATGGGAAAACAACGTTGTTGTCAACCTTTGTACTTGATAGCTCGTGGAACATAAATCTGGAATTTTAATGTTAAATCTATACATATTGCAAGGTTCATGTATGTATTTTCACAAAATGTTTATACAAAATTTAATCCTGATCCATATGATTTTGATGAAACTCACTGAATGTCATTTCTTACCTATAAAACTTGTTGCTAATTAATACTGTGACACCCCAATAGGTCATATTACATTTACAACATGTGAAAAATGTGACGGCTTTCTTGCACAGCAATGAGCATGTGATATACTTCCCAGCATAAGGATCCTTATTGAACAATACGGAAACATTACGGTAAATTTCTTTTATAACAGGTGCCTAAAGACAAACTTGTCTAGTTAATAATAATAAAGAATAGAAAATTTGTCCATCCCATTCTACAATTGCGCATGACCCACATATTGTTTTGATTGGCTATTTGATATGATGTCATGATGAAATAAACTCTTAGACATCAAACTTTGATTGTGATACCGATATATATTTGTGGTGAAGTTATACCGCTTGAGGTGGATGATGAGTCTGTCGGGGTACTGCCATACCGTCATCGTCTTCTTCGCACACTGGTTTCTCTCGCACCGAGGACAGAACCAGGGGTTGTGCTCATCCAGCACCTCACTGCAACACAAAAATCACATGTTCTGTGAATCGAATCATCGTAGAAAGTAACCTACCCAAAAATCAACATTATAGACTTACTCTACAGTAACAGTCATCAATAAGACGCACTGTGAGGTATGATAACACTCCATTCTATAAATGTTCTTGTTTAATATATCATAAAATTAAACATTAGGAATATGATAGAAGACTTGCTAGGTGTGGTACCTTTCAGTAAAAGCCTCCAGACAGTCGTTTATGTGAAGAGGTTTATCAGGTCGGAGCTGTTCCATTGACTTATCCATGTGGTAGGCCTCTGCCCTGGCAAACTCTTCCCGGGTCAGTTCTCCATAGCATACAGCCAAGTTGTCTCCAGGGCGAAACACAACGTCATCCTCTCGAGTTATCAGACATCCCTGGCACTTGGACGAGAAGTCACATCGGGAACAGTGTAGGCCCTACAAGCACAATGATACACAAATCAATTTACAAATCAAGTCTGTCTTACATAAATTTATATAACAGTACAGGCCCTACAAACACAAATATACACAAGTTAATTTACAAATCAAGTCTGTCTTACATAAATTTATATAACAGTGTAGGCCCTACAAACACAAAGATACACAAGTCAATCTACAAATCAAGTCTGTCTTACATTAAGGTATGTTACAGTGTAGGCGCTACAAACACAAAGTTTACAGATGGCTATAGTGTAGGACACGCTGACTGGACACTGGTTATCTACCATAGATACGTACCTGGCCATCAGTGATAGCTAATGTGTAGGACACTGACTGGACACTGTTCATCTACCATAGATACGTACCTGGCCATCAGTGATAGCTTTAGTGTAGGACACACTGACACTGTTTATCTACCATAGATCCGTCCCTGGCCATCAGTGATAGCTAATGTGTAGCACACTGACTGGACACTGTTTATCTACCATAGATACGTACCTGGGCATCAGTGATAGCTATAGTGTAGGACACACAGACACTGTTTATCTACCATAGATACATACCTGGCCGTCAGTGATAGCTATAGTGTATGACACACTGACAATGTTTATCTACCATAGATACGTACCTGGCCATAAGTGATAGCTATAGTGTAGGACACACTGACACTGTTTATCTGCCATAGATACGTACCTGGCCATCAGTGATAGCTTTAGTGTAGGACACACTGACACTGTTTATCTACCATAGATACATATCTGGCCATCAGTGATAGCTATAGTGTAGGACACACTTACACTGTTTATCTACCATAGATACGTACCTGGCCATAAGTGATAGCTAGTGTGTAGGACACACTGACACTGTTTATCTATCATAGATACGTACCTGGCCATCAGTGATAGCTTTTGTGTAGGAAACACAGACACTGTTTATCTACCATAGATACGTACGTGGCCATCAGTGATAGCTATAGTGTATGACACCCTGACACTGTTTATCTACCATAGATACGTCCCTGGCCATCAGTGATAGCTTTAGTGTAGGACACCCTGACACTGTTTATCTACCATAGATACGTACCTGGTCATCAGTGATAGCTATAGGGTAGGACAAGCTGACACTGTTTATCTACCATAGATACGTAGCTGGCCATCAGTGATAGCTATAGTGTATGACACCCTGACACTGTTTATCTACCATAGATACGTCCCTGGCCATCAGTGATAGCTTTAGTGTAGGACACACTGACACTGTTTATCTATCATAGATACGTACCTGGCCATCAGTGATAGCTATAGTGTAGGACACATTGACACTGTTTATCTACCATAGATACGTACGTGGCCATCAGTGATAGCTATAGTGTATGACACCCTGACACTGTTTATCTACCATAGATACGTAGCTGGCCATCAGTGATAGCTATAGTGTATGACACCCTGACACTGTTTATCTACCATAGATACGTCCCTGGCCATCAGTGATAGCTTTAGTGTAGGACACACTGACACTGTTTATATACCATAGATACGTACCTGGCCATCAGTGATGGCTAGAGTGTAGGACACGCTGACACGGGGGATCTACCATAGATACGTACCTGGCCATCAGTGATAGCTATAGTGTAGGACACATTGACACTGTTTATCTACCATAGATACGTACCTGGCCATCAGTGATAGCTAGTGTGTAGGACACGCTGACTGGACACTGTTTATCTATGTAGTCATATAGCTCCATTCCAGACATGGTGTTAGTCAGATGCAATGGACGAGGATGACTTATGAGTCTGCGATCTCCATTCTCAGCACAGATGTTAAATGTGACTGGCACTGAGATCACTCTTTAAAACAAAATCAGGGAACAATTTTTACTGAGAGAACAAACATAAACAGTTTGACATACTTAGAATCCTTCCGATGCATTCTGGTAACAAAATGTATGCAAATATTGAAATAAGACAAGATGAAACAACATAAATTGTGTATCAAAATATTACTCAACGCATCAAACAAATGTGATGAAAGGAGAAAACATATTGTACTTTACTAGATAATGTCTTACTTCCTTTAATGCCTTAAAAAAATCCATATTTCTACTTGAACTGCCTCTCAAAATTCTAAGAAAATTCTAGGATGCCTTTGTGAAGTCAATAACATTCACAAATGTTATTTTTGGATATAAACAATACAGTCGAACCTCGTTATCTCAAAGTCAATGGAGTCTTGGAGAAACCTAGAGTTATATGAAATTTGCTGTTTGGACATAGCACTAGCAGTTGTTGATTTTATTAATAGCCAATGCTTATAATCAATGGGGGAATGATATTCGTAATCAATATAACAAATATAGGTGTGTAATTTTACAATAAACAAGCTTACAAGAGTAAGCTATTTCCAAAACCCATTCTTTCGTTTTTCGCGATCGAAACTGTTTGAACCATATTGTGAATTTGTTTTTAAATATGGATGGGCATAGTGATTAAATGTTGTTTTTGGCTAGTCTTGGAAAAGTCTTTACAGGTCTGCAGTTGTATTTGCAAGTCTGTCAAGTTTACCTCTGAAGTGTTACATTAAACAAGAGGCCCATGGGCCTTTACGGTCACCTGATATATTTATACAGAGAGTTGATTTTGTTTTTAACATGAACAGAAATATTATTCAAAGTGACAAAAAACAATAAAACCACCTTACTCAATATCTAGCATACAGATTTCAGACTAAAAAGGATTTGAAACTAGCA